TGATGATACTTGTTATTGCTGAGAATAACCCTGAATTGTACCGGGAAAGCTTTTCCTTTTATGCTAAGATTTTATTTGAAGATAAATGCCATCAAGTTATGATAGCATCTAATTTTCCAACATTACAATTAAATTAATATGAATTGAAATCCACATGAAAAAAACATTTTTATTCCAAGTTGTCGCTTATTGGGTGTGCCTTAAAATTGTTTTTATGAATCCATAACCTACTTTAATGAAAGGAGGATAAATTATGGTACAAATAGCAATGCAACCCAAGTAGCTTTCTGAATTTATGTTTCGCTTAGAAAAAGTTGTTCATATACAGTCTTCATGTTTAAAACCAAATAGTGAAAGAGTGCTGCTCTTTGCAGGTCATGGAAGGATACATGGGAAACCCAGATGCAACAGTACGAACTATTACGAAAGATGGATGGATGCACACAGGTGATATCGGATATGTTGATCATGATGGAATATTGTATATAATTGATCGCATCAAAGAAGTCATCAAGTACAAAAGCTTTCAGGTATAGGTATATTGTGAGAACGGCTGTCTATTAGCTAGTTACAGTTTTGCCAAAAATGAAAAGACAATTTGATGAAAGCACTAATGCTTATACCACGACTGAAGTGATCATTTTTATTTTCTACTGTTCGATAGGTTTAAACTCATGGCTATGGCATTCGAATTCAATGGATTTTGAAACGGAGATTCGTTGCGAACACTTGGCCTCAAATAATGATAATATGTTTTCGATATTTTCAGCAAATGACGTTGCAATAAATACATATAAAAACATGAAGCTGGATTCCATTATTTTAGACACGTGCGAATTCTTCGTTCTATTTTAAATTATCCGCGGATACAATGCATGACCTATCTCTACCGAAACGGACTTCATCGTCTAAAAACCACTTTTGCCCAAATCACCAAGTGCAAATTTACAACAGATTACGAAGAATCAAATATAATGCCATGAAATGCATTGTTACAGACAGAAGCAGTAAATCGGCGCCTCAATATTTTTTATTAGGGAATATGCTCACGCTGGAACATCGTTAGCTTAAAAAAATACCAAATATGTCGGATACTCAGGCCGAGTGATAGGGAGCGGTCGAAAAACGGGATATTTGTTTCAAGCCATCATTCTGATTTATAACTTTCAACAATGTGTTTTTTAAAAGTACCGGTAAAGAATTTTAGCCTAGTCTATCACAGCTTTAAGTGAACGAGGAAGTCGATGCTCGGGGAAACAACCTTTGTAAATGAACACACATCAAACAAATTTTAATAATAATACATAATAACGAATATCTATTTATTGAAACAATTTAATGTCCTGAAAAACTGCTGATTTTGATATAAACGTGATATTTTAATGTAAATCATAAATATTTTTTTTACAAAATCGTGATCCATACATTCGGCGCACCGGCTTATAAGGTACACGATCAATTTTCGAGGAAAATAAATACGCGTAACAGTTAAAACGAAATAAAATGATAAAAATAAAATAAAACTAGAAAGCAAAGTAAAAAACGAAAAAGAGACATAATAAACCGAAAAGAATGAATACATGAATTATAATTTTGAATTTCATGTGCGTGTTTTTTTTGTACATTACGTTCTCTCTTAAAAAAGTCATCAAGTACAAAAGCCTTCAGATATTCTAAATTGTGAAAACAACTGTCAATTCCCTAGTTACAAAAATGAAAAGGCAATTCGAGGAAAGCGCTGATGCTTATGACAAGACTGAACGGATCACATTGGTAAAAAAAAAATTGCCTCTGTTAGATTGTTTAAGTTCAAGTAAGAATTCACCGGTTTCTAGTGCGTGAGATTTCGGGATTCTACTTGTCTTGAACAATATGTATGTCGTTATGAAAGATTGTCTCAATTTGTCGTATTTTGAATTTCCAGAGTCGATGTTTTTTCTAATTTGTCAAGCAATTACTAAACTTAGTTTCGCAACTATTACTAACATGGCTTCGATTTCCACAATTCCACATTTCCACACAAAGTTTCCAGCAACTGTTTCTCGTCTGTTTTTGAAAACAGCAGAGAGCTTCCATCTCACCATTTATCAAAATATTAGTTGAATCCAATATTTTAGCAAATTGCAGAACTCTTGAGTTATAAGGTTTTCGCCTGAATGTCTTGATCGTGATACGCCAACCGCCTCTCAAGACTAACTTAACAAGAACAAATGAATTTTAAATTGAAATTTCCCAATACTATTAATTTTTAATATGATTTAAGCTAGAGTTGGTTATCTTATTCTAAACCATTTTTCATACCAATGAAAATGACATGACATGATTGATATATTACAGTGATATTATAGAATATTAGGTAATTTTGCTGCTTCTGGTTAACAGGTGTTTAAACTTAAAGTCATTCTAACCTTAAAATTAGAAGCAATCTCTTAGACTTAAAATACGTAACAATTAGTGATACCATTCGAGATCTTATATAGTGAATGAACATGCCCGGAAATGTCCTAATCAAGTGTGTAACAAAGATGAATTATGTTAAAACTGATTCGTCATTGTGATATGGCTTGGGGCTGTTTAACTTAATTACGTCCAGTGAAAAACAAGTTTTATAATTCTGACAAGTCTTAACGAACTAGTTTTACTTCCTTTAACAATATTAATTTAAAAAACAACAGTAAATCTTACTAAAATAACAAGATTATCAATATAAGATCACTCACATTGTATCTCAAAGGAGCAAATAAGTTTTCAATTTTATGTTTCGTTTGATTCAGGTGTCATCTGCAGAGCTAGAGAGTGTTATATTAAAACATCCCAAAGTTGAGGATGTAGGAGTTATTGAAATTCCTGATACTTATACAGGTGAACTTCCAAAATCATTTGTCTCAAGCAGGTTGATGATCGAACACAAGGGTCACCAAACTACGCCCGCGGCGTCATTTTATCCGGCTCGCAATAACATGCAAAAATGACTAAATTTTTTTTCAATGAAGATTTCCCCGAGCATCGTCTTCCTTGTTTATTTCGTAACATTGGCCAATCAGCAAGATGCAAAAAAAGTGACGTAATAAAAGGCCTTTTCGCACCCGCTCAAACACTTTTGTCATCCTGACAGATTTTCAGTCGTGGTTGTAAACAATACTTCGTTTTTGCGACTTTGAAAGCTATTTGTTAGTTTTTGGTTGTGTTTCGGAAATTTAGGTATATATACGAATCAAATAAGTCAATCATCATTTCCTTCCTCAGGAGTTGTAGTTTTAATAGTAGTAATGAAAAATTAGTCTAGAAATAGCTGTGACAAAATAGGCTAAAATTCACTACCGGTACGCAACGTTTCCTGCGAAAGATGCACTGGTACACTCGTGACGCGTGCTTTCAACAAAACTGTTTACGTTTCTTGTGCTAAAATAAACGTCGAATGTGCATTTTGCGCTAACAGTACTGTGATCCCTCGCGTACTGCTCCAATTTCACAAGTCACACTAACTTTCGTACTGCTTAAGTGCGGATATTCATGTATAGGTAATGTTACAAAAAAATTAAAGTTCATCCGATTCAAATAAAAACTGCGCCAGTGGATAGATCTGAGTGAAAATAGAAAACAGTGCCAAGTTTATAAAAAAAAACTGTCAAAAAATAACGGAGATATCGGAATTTTAGTACCGCCCGACAGGCCAATTTTTTCCATAAGGATTGTATTGCTTTTTTGATATGAACTGTAAAAAATTTAAAAAAAGAACACATATCAATCACTAATCTTTCGATGTGCGTCACATTTAGGGAATATTGAGACTATTTCAGAATTTGTTCTGGCAACGGTCATTGGCACGATACCGCCGAAAGATCGTCGCAAATAAACGCTAGAATTGTGCATGATAGTTTGACAGGGGTTCATTGTGGGTAATATTCAACGATGTTCTGATCGTACAAACTTCATAAAAATTGGTGAGTATTAAGTTAGGAAAGAAATACACACGTCCATATAAATATTATTGATGTCCATAGACAATATCTTTAATTTTCACTACGTATACCGAGAGCGTAATTTTTAAAACCCCCGAATGTTGGGAAATTTATGCGCTAATGAAAAAAATCAAATATCAGATAATAGTTGTATATTTTATCTAAATTATGTCGAAATTTCATGGAATTCCAAGCTACAGCAAGCAGTCCGTAATAATCATTATGAGCGGTATTCCAACACGGCGTAACGGTGGGCTACTTAGCAGACGTGATGCGTACATTTTTTGGCGCGAAAAAACTGATTTTGTAACATTCCTAATTCATGACAGCAACGTTTTGATAACAGCTAAACTCAGGATAGTTATCTAAATATAAAAATCTTATATATTTGTTTTCCTAGGATGTTCTCGATCTATCTTCAGCAATATAAATAAAATTCAATATTCAAGTCTTCAGAAATGTAGAATATATATTGTTGAAAGGATTTCCCAACTTTTGTGAATTTATTATATTGCATTAAAAAATATATTCATCCGGCCCGTTTCAGCACAGTTTGAGTCATACTCGGCCAGCGATCAAAAAAGTTTAATGATCCCTGACCTAACAGAAGACGACGTGGATTCTTTTGTGAAAGGTGAGTAAAACAATTATGAATGCCGTGAGTTCCCGGAATTTAATGAAATAAACGTGAAAATTGTTAAAGTTTTTAGATAATTTTTATTTAATGAAATTAGGATAATGAAAATTGAATCTGTTAATAGTTTGCAAAATAATTTAATAAAACTCATGGCTATGGCATTCGAATTTAATTGATTTTGAAAAGCGTGATAATCCTTGAGGCTGTGAGCACTTCCGCTTGTATACCGCTTCCGCTTGTATACCGCTTGTATACATTACAAGATACAACGTGTGCACATTTCATACAATCCTCGACGTGGCAAATCAATCATTACAGCGATCCAAAAATCTGACAACAATGTTGTCACTTAAATAGCAGAACGGTATGAGATTTATTTTCGTATAATCTGTATAGGGATCCAAATACGTATTTTACGGACCATAAGGCGCATTGGATTATATGTTGCGCTGTCAATGATAGCTTTGATAGGGTTTTTATTCATACATAAGGCGCACGCATACATGAGGCAATAAAAAGCATCGATATTGTAAGAAGTTGAATACGGCGGTTGGTTTATGAGACAATAGTACCGGTACTGGGGTAAGGCAATATAGAATAAGGCACTACCTTATCCATATATTCGGCGCACTGGCTAATAGGCGCACTGTCGATTTTTGAGACTGTTAGTTTCATAATCCGGACAATTTAGTATTAAGCAACATGTTAAAAAAAAATTTAGTTTAGAGAAATCAAAATTGACGTTAATATTATAAAATAGATGATGTATGGCTAGTTTCCAGCAAAGTGACAGCAGACGCTCGTAGATGTGCACATTGAAAGCCGGATTAACATTTATCAACATAGACGTTTGAACAAAAATCAATCGGGCACACGTTTGGTTGGACTATGAGCTTGTCTGATCTGGTGTATTGGCTTGATTTTGTGATAAGATTCCTCGAGAAGGCAAACTAATAATCATTAGAAAGTAAAGTATAATTATATTATTCTTTCGCATTCTTAAATCTATTTAGTCGCTTATCCGTATTTGCAGATCGCCACATAAGCCTATTAAACTATAATTTAATTGTCCATTTTCTCAAACTACATTTCTCTAATCCTGGATAATTTCATGGATACAAATGAGATATCCTATTGTATGTGTACGTCCTCGTTTTTGGGTTTTATCGCTTTTCGTAAGACTTTCTTTCCGAATAACTATCACCATTTATGTAACACCAGATTTTGTCGCGAAATTGTGGATTGAAACTCAAAAGGTAATAATGAAGAATATTTTGTGTTTGTAGAATTGAAGTTAATCAAGGCTAAAAGAATCTTCTGATCTCAGCGACCACAGGGTTAGAACGAACATTCAAGGGTACTTTTCACAAGTTATTCGCTTGATTCGTAGTAGAACTGTAAATTAGCTTCATTATGTCGTTCAGTAGTCAATTACCAGATGTGCAACTTTCAGAAAATTCGTTATCAGAATTTATTTTTCACCGAATAAAAGATCTCGGAGATAAAATTGCGTTGGTAAGTAAATCTATTGAGGAAATATTAAAATAGCAATATAATTCGCATAACGGAATATAATATAGAATTTAGCATTCGTACACATCACTCTAAAATCACAATGAGCATTTTTATAACTTATTTAAGCCGTTTTCAGATCATTCAGCGACTTTGATTAAACGATAATTGCTTTACAAAAGTATCAGGGCAAATTGTCTGCATCCACTCGCAGAGGTATATCTAGGTCCTTCAAGTGACGCATGTTTTTGCGTATTTATGTAATTTTACATTTCGCCACCTGGAAAAAGGTCAATATAAATGTTATCTAATCTTTAATGTGGGATTCGCATTTGTATAATATTATTGGAATGGTATGAGAATGTGTGCATGAGTATTGTGTTGTTATTTGCATTAAATAATTTTAGCGTGAGTCATTTACACCAGTGGTTCTCAACCCATGAGTCGCGACTCAAACTTGGTCGCCTGAAAATGTTCTTGGGTCGATGGCTTTTTTCCATAAAAACCTTAAAGCTACTAATTTTATAGCAAATTTTATTGTTTATTTTATATTTGGCATTGAAGTGTTGCCTTAATAGTGATTGTATGTGTGGGTAGTACCGGTATCACTGCGTAAAAACTTCGCAGAATTCATTCAATTTTTAGGGAAATGAATGTTATATCAAATTGATGGTTTTATATTATTCATTTAATTTTCGCCATGAAAGTACCACATGTTTAGTCATTGAGAATATTATATCACCGAACATCGAATAAAATTTTATTCAGGTTGACATTTCAGTCGATGGAAAGTCGCTAACATTCAAGCAAGTCTATGACCAATCAAGGAACTGTGCTGGGTATTTACACAAAGCAGGACTTGGCAAAGGAGATGTGGTTGGCCTTTGTTCTCCCTCTTCACTCGAATTCCCAGTTGCAATGTTAGGTGTTCTCGCCTGTGGCGGTGTTGTCACTCCTTGTAACCCTGCATATAGCGTGGGTAAGTATACTCCAAAATTGACCAGATCTGAGATTCATTTCTTATTATCGATTTATATACAATACAAACCAGTACGTAGGCCTACTGGCATCCCGCCTTAAAGAATCTTAAAGGAAAATGTCAAACTGCCACTTTTAAAGCTCACGCTCACCGTCGTTCACTTTGTGGGTAGCTTTCAAACAAGCAAACTACGATTATGTACTTTATAAGCTCAGCAAACTGATTTTGGGGCTTCAAAAAAGTCGGTGTCCAACTTTTCGTCGAAATGAAGTAAATGAATATGAGATCATATAACACCTCCAGCCTAAGAATTGTATCTATCCTAACATAACCTATAGCATAAATTCACTTCATATGTTTATTTTACCAATTGCACCACAATATATATCTAACACAATTAATGGTTTTCATTAGTTCCAATAGTTTCTAGGCATTATAAATATATATATATCTACCCTATAACTCAGAACAGTGAAACAGATGTAGTAAGTGGAACAAATGGAACCTGACATTGAGAAACACCACATTAAGACAATTCTTTACCCCATTAAACACAATTAATTATTTTTCAAGTTTTAATTTCAAAAATAACCTACCCACAAATCTTCAACTCAGTATGGTTGCACAAAAGTTTTTTTAAATTTCTGCCGGATAAGAAAAATTCAGATTATTCTAGAAACGAAATAAATGAAGCTTGCTAAACTGTTGTTATGAAGGTTTCTGTTTTGAAAATCACAAAATATATTTTACAGGAGAAATATTACAACAATTTCAAATTTCAAAACCCAAGATGGTGTTTGTACACGAAGACTGCTTGAATACAATGAAGGAAGTCAAGAGAAAAATTGATTCTTTGGAGGTAGCATTCATCAGATAGAAACGTATCTTTGCTCATTCCACTGTTTTATATACAATATATATATATTTTGTCAGACCCATTTATTTCCTCATAAATGTTTATAATACGTATTATATTATATATTTAAGAAAATGTTTATTATTGGAGAAAGCAGCGAATTCATTACAATGAGCGAGATGATTGGTGACGAATATAGTGAAGGTTTGTTTATATACAAAACATTTTACTTATAAATTCCAACGCTTTAACCCATTCGTATGACACTTTCAATCATGATACTATCCATATGTGATATTTCTTTTTCCAGACTTCCCAAAGCACATTGCTATCAACGCTGACGAAGATGTAGCTATATTGCCGTATTCTAGCGGAACTACAGGACTACCAAAAAGTGTTATGCTAAGTCACAAGAATTTGACATCTTCCTTTTTGATTTTTCGGTGAGCATTTTTTCATAAGCAGATAGTTCCAGCATGCTGGAAACATGAAGGTGTGGACCGAGTATTATTTTTACTGTAATATTCGTTTATTATAAAAAAAAAAAGTCGCGTTGATGTAGAACGAATTTTTAAGGAGTTAGGTTCTTGAAACCAATGTGGACTCCAATATAACCTTAAAAATATTATTCCAGTGACTTTGTACCACATGAAACTACAGATATTTTGTACACGGACCGTCCAATGTATCATTCAGGTGGATACATGGGGTTAATTGTCTCACTATCAAGTGGACAAAAGTTGGTTTTTGAAAAAGAGTGTGATACGAAGACCATGCTACGTGCGATTGAAAAATATAAGGTAATACAGCGATAGAAATATAGGGTATTAATATATATGTATATTTTCGTCTTAATGAAAATCTCACCTACACCAAAAATTGTACCTTGTTGTTGTAGATTAAGGGTTAGGGGTGGGCACTATAACATAACATACAAATTATTTGTTTTTAGGAGTACGATAGTGGTTCAATTGACTCTATCCAATCCACGTAGGCTACAATGCGAGTTCTCGAAATTAGATTAAGTAGGCTATATTCGATACCCACTTATTCACTTATTAAATCTGTTCCAATATCATTTCGTGGTTTTAGATCACTTACATTATGACGGTACCACCAATATTAATCGAACTAGTTAACGATGACAACACCGCAAATTACGATGTTTCCAGTCTTAAACAAGTAGCATGTGGAGGGGCAGTTCTTGCTCCGGACATATCAAGAAAAATAGCACAAAAGTTTGATGTTGACATGAGACCAGGTAAATGTTAGATTATACAGAATTAGTATTTTTTAATTAATTATGGGCAAAGTTTTGAATATCCACTACGGTGTTATACGAAGACAAAAGATTAAAAGAGGTTGGTCTGTGCCAGAGCCAAATGGCCACGATATTGCTACACTAATTTGGTGTAATACATATATGCGTTGAACTTATTTGATAAAAAGTCCCACATCTAGGTAGCAACCACAATAGAATGAAAACTTTTATTGTAAAAGTCTAACGGGAAACTTACTAGCTACGAATTAATCTTGCAAAAGTGACTATAAACGAGATATCAGAAAATATTACTTCCATTTATCAAGAGTACGGATTGACAGAATTTTATTTCATTGCCTATCATTTTGGAGATGAAAGTTTATTTGACGGCGTGGGAAAAATTGTCCCAAATACAAAAGTCAAGGTGAGTATAATTCCCAAATATTCATATTAGGCCCAATAGGTGATAGATCTGACTGTAAAATTTCATGAAGCATCAGATGAGCTAGAACTTGTCATTCACTTATTGAACACAAAGTGGACCTATGGATCGTTTTGTTATTGTCGGTATTCTTTTTCATGTTGCCGTGAAAATCGCCTTTTTTTTTAACAACTGGACCAAGTGCTTTGCAATTTTTAGTCGTTGAAGATTGTGTTTGTTACTAGAACGCTTTTGTTTAATAAATTCTGTAGGCTCTATGGCATTCATTTTTGCGTGATGACGTTATAAAAATTAGAACTTGCACCTCGTGCCGGTTTCGCGTTCGCTGCTTAACCTTTTGGTCAGTCGAAGTCTGGAAGAATACGGCACCAGTACTGCAGTAGATTAGATACCATTACTGCTTCATTTTGGCTTTCTTGTCCATACATTCGAGCATTGCTCTCTTGTGAATCTGAACTCGGTCTTTCCTGGGAATTGACTTTTTTGTTTTCAATTATAGTAATTGAATCGAAACTTTCTGGTTCAACAGACGCAATACAAATCATTCTCTAGTGCAACATAACATCACCATTATATAAAGTAACCTTTGAAAGAAAGATCAATTCTTCACAAAAAGTAATATAAAGATAATATGGCCCTGTTCATATGTATATATGTTATACATTTATAAACGGCGTAAAATTAATTCTCTGTTGAAATATTCAATTTTTCACATCAAAGATAATTGATCAGCTAACGGGAAAGGAACTTTCTGAAAATAAGACTGGAGAAATTCTCGCACAAGGGCCTCAGGTATAATATGATAGAGTTGTAAGTTACTTGTTTTCAGTACCGAAGCTAAGTTATTTTTAAATATCAAAATCATCATTCAGCATGGTTAAAAGGGGCTTGCACATTACATCTTCCAAAATTCCGTATTGTCATATTACAATAAGTTTGATTGTAACTTATAAAAAAGTGAACTTTCACAGCAACCTAATGACCATACTTGTTATTGCTGAAAATAACCCTGGATTGTCCCAGAAAAGTCTCTTTTCCATTATGGTAAGATATTTTTTAAAGATAAATACCACCAAGTTATGATAGAATCCATTTTTCCAACATCACAATTAAAGTGACTGTGGATTAGAATTCATATAACAAAAAAATTCAAAACCATTTTGCAGTTTTATTCTAAATTGTCGCTTTTTGGGAGCGTCTTTAACATATGTATATATACATAACTTACTTTCATAAAAGGATGATAAATTGGCAATGAACCCGAGTAACCTTCTGAATTTAGGTTTTATATAGAAAACGCTGTCGTATACAGACTGTAAGTTTAGAACTAAATAATAAAGAGTGCCTCCCTTTGCAGGTCATGAAAGGATACATGGGAAACCCAGATGCAACAGCACGAACTATTACAAAAGACGGATGGATGCACACAGGTGATATCGGATATATTGATAATGATGGGATATTGTATATAATTGATCGCCTGAAAGAAGTCATCAAGTACAAAAGCATTCAGGTATTCTAAATTGTGAAAACGGCTGTCTATTTGCTAGTTACAGTTGTGCAAAAAATGAAAAGGCAATTTGACAATGCTCATGCCACGACTGAAGTGATCATTTTTGTGGAAGAAATTTTCTACTGTTAGGTAGTTTAAGTTCATATAGGTATTTACCGCTTTCAACTGCGTGAGATTTTGGTGTTCTACTGTCTTGAAAAATATGTCGTTATTAAATATTGTCTTAATTTCTCGTGCTGATTATTTGGTTTCTGCGAGACTAACTACTTATCCTTCTTCTATGCTTTTGTGCCGGTGGATCCGTATGCATATATTGCAAGGATGCTGTAGCAAAAGTAGAGATAACAATCCTAATATAACAGTCACGCATGTTAAATAATTCCTATAATTCTACACTGATTGTTTAAATATGCATGTGACTGCTTTTCGTGTTATAGTTGAACTATGTATGTCTGAAGAAGTCTGACCTTGGTCAGACGAAACGTTACGGAAATATATTTGTGCTAGTGTGCAGCAAGACTCTTGAATCACTTAGGATTAATTTCTCGTGTTTGTATTTTCCAGGGTGAACGTTTTTTTTTCTAATTTGTCAAGCAATTAGCTTCGTTTTGCACATAAAGTTTCCAGCATCTGTTCTTCGTCTGTTTTGGGAAACAGCATAGAACTTCACTCTCCCAATTATCGAATTATTAGTCGAAATTTCACACGAATGTGTCATGCTTGATATGTCACACTGAGAACATGCGTATATCTCAACCGATCATATACCGGTATATCAGTTTTAAATTCTATATTCCCTTTGATTCAGGTGTCACCTGCAGAGCTAGAGAGTGTTATATTAAAACATCCCAAAGTCATGGATGTAGGAGTTATTGGAATTCCTGATACTTATGCAGGTGAACTTCCAAAAGCATTTGTCGTTAAGAAGGTTGATAATTTAACAAAAGACGACGTGGATTCATTTGTGAAAGGTAAGTATAAGACAAAAATGGACGACAGGAGTTTGCTGAGGTTTATCTAAGTAAAATTAGTGTGAGAGATTTTCAAATCGATTCTTCAGGAGTCACATAATTTGACATATGGAAACATTACAAATTTTTCGTAATTATAAAGAACGTTTCACCATCATTCAGGCGAACTGGTTGATTACAAACAACTGAGAGGTGGAATTGAGTTTGTTCAGAAGATTCCAAAATCAGCCACGGGGAAGATTCAACGTAACAAATTGAAAAAGATGGCCGGAATTATATAAAATAAACGTGTAATTGTTGAAGTTTTTAGATAATTTTTATTCAAGAAAATACGATGATAAAAATATAATCTGTTCATAGTTTCCAGACTGATTTAAGCTCATGTTTATGGCATTTGAATTCGATTGATTTTGAAAACGGAGATTCGTTGCGAACACTTGGCCTCAAATGATGATAATATGTTTTCGATATTTTCATCAAATGACGTTGCAATAAATACATATAAAAAAGTGAAGCTGGATTTTATTACTTTAGACCCGTACGAATTCTTAGTTCTATTTTAAAATATCCGCGGATACAATGCATAACCTTCTACCGAAGCGGACCTCATCGTCTAAAATCCAGCTTTGCCCAAATCATCAAATGCAAATTTACAACGAATTACGAAGAATCGAATAAAATGCCATGAAATGCATTGTTACAGACAGAAGCAGTAACTGCCCCAAATATCTGCTATTAGGGAATATGCTCACGCTGGATTATGGTGAGCATAGAGAAATACCAAACATGTCGGTTACTCGGGCCGACTGATAGGGAGCGATCGAACCATTGGAGTTGTGAGCGCCCGCTTGTATACATTACACTGATTACAGCATAGGTTCTCAAAGTGCTCCGTACGGAGCCCCGGGGCTCCGCGAGAGAAACCCAGGGGCTCAGCGAGCTATTCGATTACTCTTCAAAATACTGACTCAAAATTTTATAACTGTTCAAAGAAGCAATAACAGATTTGATAAAATCTGACAACAATATAGCCTCGAAATATGGCAAAGAGGCGGAATTAAAAAATGACATTGTTTATAAGCAGTAGCGAAGCCAGGATTCTTAAGAGGGAGGTGGTTCAAAATTGGAATCGGAAATTTCCGCGCAACATTCTTCGCGATTAAAAAAACGGAAAACGAGATTTCTGTTGCTTAAAATATTCAATCCATGACCGATGGAGCGTTTAACGTGTCTCGTCGTTATAATGTAATTGTGCTCATCGTTACTCACGTTTGATTCGAGATTACTATTAGGATTACTAAAATGAAAGAATACTATTCTAAAATAACATAAAATATGTGATAAACTGCCAACTACAAATAAATTGGAGTCGTATTTTTGCGATCTTGGGATTTGTCAAACTTGATTTGTTCTTTCGCACTTGAGATTATTTTTAAGCAAGATATCGCCGTTTAAAAAATCACAATGTCTGGGCAAAATACGAACAATTGAAAAATATTTTATTGCAATCAGCTGCGTCGGTAGTTACGGAATGAAAAAAGGTTCATCGCGCGCACAATTCTCTGTGTTTCGATTTCGCAGTTACTAAGATGAAAACCTAACATAACATCAAATTTTGTGATTTACAATGTCTATAAAAGCATTTTCAATCTGAGGTGAGTCTGCTGAAACCAAACGTGTGATTTCCATTTTAAGTTCCAGTTTTAATATTTTAGAATGCCGTTTTTCAATCAAGAAATTTGAGTTGTGGATTTACCTCTTTATTGATTATTAATTTTAGCATTTCGTCGCCGATGACTATAATATAGTAACATGTTTTTCACATTGAACTCATAATTCCCCACGAGAACAAAAAAGCAATTAACGTCGTCATTGTGTAACAATACATGTATATGAAATTTTTGATTTAGAGAGAACAGCTTTAGTATAAATTTTAGATTTATTAATACCTTGTGTTAACCCTATTAAAAAAGGTTCAGAATTTTGAAATAGGTAAAGTACTTTTAACTTGCTCAGGAATATTAATCTGAAAGTAACAGTTTTAACATTTATTTTGGGGCTCCGTGAATAATATTCAACCTTTCAAGGGCTCCGCAACATCAAAAGTTTGAAAACCCCTGGATTACAGGATACACCTTGTGCATATTTAATACAATCCTCGGCGTGGCAAACCAATCGTTCCATCGATCCAAAAATTTGTAACAATGCTGTCACTTAAACAGCAGATTGGGATGAGATTTATTCTGGTATAATTCGTATATGGATCCAAATACGTATTTTATGGACCATAAGGCGCATTGGATTGAAAAGTTGAAGACGGCGGTTTGTTTATGAAATTATAGTACCGTACTGGTTTTGCGGTAACACAATAAAGCATAAGGCACTACCTGGCCCATACATTCGGCGCACTAGCGCACAATCGATTACAATCAAAATACGGTACATGCCCATCGTTAGTTGCATTCTGTGAACAATTTATTATTGAGCAACATGTTTAGAAAAAATTTAGTTTAAAAAAATATAAATTGAGGTTAATATTATAAAATAGATATGTATAGCTTGTTACCAGCAAATGCTCGTGGGTGTGCACTTTGAAATCCGAATAAACATTTATCTGCCAGGGAAACGCGAACATAGTCGTTTGAACAAGAATCAACTGGGTTCACGTTACGTTCGACCTTTCACATTTTCAGCGACAAATCAAATCCCATGATAAAAAAAAAATATTATTGGCAAAAATCACCAGCAGGAGCGTTCAAAAATAAGTTCCTCGTTAGACGTTAAGATTTTTTGAGCTTTTCTGGTCTGATTTTGTAATAAGATTCCTCGAAAAAACACATTTTTATAATCATTAGAAAGTATAATCCCAATATTCTTTCGCACATTTCTTAACCATTTAGTTGCTTATCCATATTTCAGATCTTCTTCGTCCCATAGGCGTATCAAACAATAGTTTCTTTGTTGATTTTTTCAAACTACATTTCTTTGATCCTGGATAATTTGATGTTATGGTATGTGTATATCCTAATTAGCTAATACATATGATTAATTAAATATTAAATATTAAGTTATCGCTTACTCACTATTTAAATTTACCAGACACCAAGCTTTAATAATTCACGTATAGTTACATAAAGCAAATAAAGATGAAAGTTGGACAAAGCCTAAGCAAACAGGTAGAGTTTATTACCGGGTCACGCGATCTACCGTTGACAGGGTTTATGTCAAAAAAAAAGTTCCTTCATCACTGGCTTGTAGTGAAACGAGATGATGATTAAGATATCGTTGAAATAGTGTGGGTTTTAGAAATCTCTGTAATAATGAATATCCATGAAATATTGAGGATTGCGGCTATGAAATAATAGTGTGGGTGCATTTGGCTAAATTAAGCTGCAATTCACTTTACGTTACGAATTTAATCTGCAGCATGCATTTCGCAACTATGTAAACTCTTTGAAATTTATGTAAACCAGTATATATAAGAGTATGCCACGAATAAGGTTTTTGATGTATGGCATTAGTGACCAGTAGTTCTTTATTCAGTGAAATATTGAATACTGGCGAAGAATTGCATTAGGATAATGAGACATACAGAAATTACAGCCTATTTCTGGCGCTGGATTATAAAATGCACTGTTAAAAAAATTAGTAAATATACTAATTTTTCTAGTAAATTTTTACTAATTTTTCGTTGAATTTTACTTTCTACAAGAGTATTTTATTGAAATCACGTGACTTGCTTAGCTGAGCCAATCAGGGTGCTTGTTTGTTAATAGTTTACTAATGCATAGTAATTTCACTGATCAGTTAGTAATTAATATAACAGAAAAATAGTAAAAAGATTAGTATACTTGGAAAAAGTAAAAAAATCTAAGATCCTCTAATTTACGAATAACTATTCTTTCCAATAAACGAATTTATCTACCTACGCATGCGATATAGTCACAAAGCAAATTTAAATACTCCTTTAGAATTCCATCTAAATTTTGCTCTGGGTATTAATTTGTATTAATTTTATTCTAAAATTATTTTGGTTCATCCCCCAAAAATTCTGATTGTTTTGCTATTGCATTAGACAAGATAAGATATTGTTTTTATATATTATTTTTCCGGAAGTAAGCGGACCTATTTGTCCAAATATTCATCCGCAAAAACTCCACGAGGCAGGTTGCGTGCGCAGCATTTTTGATTTCGAGTTTCCTTGTGCCGCCCATCTCGGCTGGGACGCTAAGCTGTTTGGGAGCTCAGCATCGGTTGCGTGCGTATGAAAACTGAATGCGGTACGTATGTTAAGTATGTGTATTGTGTTAGCAACGGTCTGTACGGTAGGTGCGGATTTACCGCGGGTAGTGGTCTGATTATTGAGGTACCGGTACTGGTACTTTTTGCAGAGATCAAAGTTTCCTATATTTTAATCCTTCTCTTTACCGTCATAGGTCATTTAGTACCGGTAATGTGCCAATTATGACATCACTCAAATGTCACGTGCCTGTAGCCCGCGCATTTTCTGGTTCAGGAATTAGGACTCGGTAAGCGAGGGCGAGGCTCTTTGTCGTTAGTGGATGTTTATTTTAGGCGGTTGGTTTTTGTAGCTTTTCATGCGTTAATTGAGCATGTTTGTGTTACAGTAAGTAGACTTGTAGTTGGTTGACCAAAATATTCTTTAAATACCGTGTACATCAGCATCTAATGGTACCGTACCTGTATACAGCGACATGCATACCGGTACCGGTATCTATCGACGACCAAGAGTAAAAATCTGAATTGGCTATTTCAGTATTTGTTTCGGAATAGATGTAACTTACCGGTACCGTAGCCTATGGTGATATGATACGTTCAAACGTTACAAGTCAGTGGCAACAATAGGTACGGTACCGTACCGGTAACAGACAGATGAATTCAACTATAGCTACAAAGTCTACAAGGCGGCCATCTTGGTCGGATCGTATTTGGCGCTTTCACAATTTACATTGTATTATATACATATCCTAATACTTTTAGGACATTTTATTCTTCACAGTAAAATGACGTCATTTCGAATCTCGATTCGAGAGCTCAAAATGAACCAGAACGATTTTAGTCATTTCAAATTTGATTCATGAAAAATCTTACAATATGGGGGACCGATCCTAAAGTACGAATAATTGTAACAACGGAAAATAATAAATTGAAATGACTGAAACTAAATTCGCTATTGTTGAGGTGATGGTTTAAAAAAAGGATTATTTGTTTTTGGAAAAATATAATTTTGCCGAAAAATACTGCGGATTGTTTTGGTTCATTTAAACGAAACCAATAAGAGTCAAGTGGTGACCATGTAATAAATGTTATACCAAAAATGATTACATGTTGCATAAGTGCTCGTGGTACTATAATATCATATTTTCTGACAAAAGCAGCTCTTTATCTGAATTTATAAGTTCTTCAAAATCGGAATCAAAGAGCCTGAAAACTGAATTACCAAAATCGACTGGGGTGGTCACGTTGATCGTCTATTATTTCGGAGAGGACCTAAACCAAATATTTAAGTGTTTCCAGGTATTTTTTTGAAAGTTTTCGCATCAAGAGTAATGTAACTTCTGCACAACACTGTTCGTATAAAGTTTTGTGAGCCGACTGCAAATTAATTGGAAACTAACTGCATGATAGTGGTTAACGGAATTTTTTTGCATATTTATTCATTACTTTGCCTATTTTCAGAAAGAAACCACTTTTTCCCAGATATTAGAAGATATTCCAAAATCTCCATTTATTGTTTGCATAGGTAAGTGTTAGAGGTGAGCGATGTAATTGTGAATATCAGGAACAATTTCAAAATATGATATGATAGCTGTTTTCCTGTGATTAATTCTGCAACTTATTCAAAGGACATTTTGTGTCGCCATATACTTCTCAGTTGTGATTATTATAAAATAATATCACCAGCTTCTGTCATGCAACCTGCTTTAACTGTTGCGTCACAGTATGCATTGCTTGAAATATGAAATATAATATTTCTGAAAGAACGTAATGCGTAATCCCTTCGTTTTATCAGTGTTACGCTTGCTATCAACGGTGAGTGAAAATAAGAACAAATCCATGTCTGCTATGTTAGATATATAGCCAAAGCCAATTTTGAGATGATCGTACTATTATACAATTAATATTTGTGTAATTGCATATTATCAAAAAATCACTAACCGTCCACCTCTAGTAAGTGTATTTGTTATTAGTTGGCTTTAGAAGTTGAGATAATAAGATTAATTAACCTGTCAAGTGCCTTTCACTTTATTCATAAGCCTATAGATTCGAAGCTAAAGTTTACAATCTTGTGTTTCAGGTAACACGGTAGCGACTGCTGAGACTTTTTACGTCATCGCTGAACGAGAAGTGGTGTGTTCCTGTAGATCGTTTTTTGAAGCGGTAGCTTTTCAGTTTGCTTCGTTCTATGTTTTCAACATAGAATATCCAAAGAAGGCCTTGCTGACGTTTGATTTTATTCAGAGGTAGGAAAAAATGTGCTAGTCTACAGTGCTGATATAATTCTTGCTGCTGGCACAATGTACAAGTTGTTGACGAATTACCTGTTACTTCTGTCATGTAGTGTTATTTGATGACATACAATACAAAAAATGGGTTGTGAAAATGAAATATGTGACTGGACTTGCACAAACTCATGGTGTCCATACCCTGGGGACTGGGCCATAAGTAGGGCTGGAAAAATTTAATTAGTTAAACAGTTTTTAGGTGGTTAATAATAGTCATGATATATTTTAACCATTCATCGGTACGGTACCGATGACTGACTGGCGGTACCACACATGTTTCCTCCTAATCTAATGTGTTTTACAGCCATATGTGAAAAATGAACTCACAACAATCCTATTTTAGTGAACTTCAATTTCAAACGATGTCACTGTGCTCTCCATTTTGTAGCAGGAAATTTTTGATATATTTGCAAAAAATCATTACTAATGACAGAAATTAATACAATATTTTTCAATTGCTGCATTTGCAATCGAATGTCAACGAGCGGATGAGCCTATTGCGATTTGCGACAACTGGGGGCTAGGAGGATCTGGAGCTTTCTGGTTTGGCAATTGCATTCCTGGCCCACTGACAGTTTTTTGTTTATCCCTTGGCAAGGCACGATACATTATAAATACCTGACATTTTTGTCCAGTGTTAGTGTTTTTACTATTTTGGTGGTGAGATGACAGGACATTTTTCAAATTTCATATGTGAAACCTATTCGCCATTTAAGTTCGGCCTTTTTTCAGGTTCTTCGGTGACATAAACCCCAGAGGCACTAAGTCGAAAAAAAGAAAGGCAAAGACGTTCATGCAAAAGTAATCGGCCTTGCAAGAAGAGTGAATCTATCACAGGCGTTATATGTGCCGTTGTTAGAAATTGATGTTTAAGTAAACTTTGGTGGTGTTACTGCAGCTTACATCACTTTTGACCAGGGGTGAAAACTCGATCAAATTTTCACATGCCTTTGATTGAGTTTCTCAAGTTCGAGTTTGCTTTTGCTTTTGGCTGATCGATTAATTTGATAAAAAATGATTTAGCTGTGTGTTGGGTGTGAAGTCTGGATAATTTTAAACAAACTCTGCTCCGTGATCTTCTTCAACCACAAAATTTCTGGCTTCAACTCATGACTATCAACTCCCACATTTGCAAATATATGACTCCGTCTCCTGCTCAAGACTCCTTCAAAATATGAATTAAAACTCTTGACTCCCTGATCTTTTAAGATTTGACTGCTGCTATGCTAGCTGCTTTAGTGGAACTTTTTGTCCAGTTTTATCAATTTTAACATTTTCGAATTTGCAACTTCTGCTCCTAGCTCATGAGCTTTAAAAATGTCCAGTCAAACTCTATTCATAAGTGTGGATAAACTCCGACTATGATTAACTCTATGGACTCTGCAAGCTTCAAAATTTAGAACTCCCACTCATGCTCCTACCAAAATCCTCAAACTCCCGCTCTTCGACTTCACGCCCCTTGAAATCTTATCTTGAAAATTATCTTGCATAATTAACTTTAGAATTTGTCATCTTTGAAACTCTTGCCATAGCTACAAAATAGGTTCCATGATATTTCCCAAAATTTTCATTTTGAAACATTATAATTAAAGTAAAGTGCAAAAAATCGTGAAATTCTTACAATAGTCTCGTTATTATGTCACGTTTGCCAGCGTCTCATAGCCTGGTATCCAGAAATTTGATTTCAAAATAAGTTTGTCAACTAAACAACCCAGTCCTAAAACTTTATCTTGTTTGACTTTATTTGGATCTATTGAGATAAATAAATATACCTCGAAATGTATAGACCAGATTTCTAACAAGTGCCGATAGAAAGTCAATTTTGATCCATTACATACAGAATTCCTATGTCCTACAAGAACTTGTGCCCTCATTTTATTGCATGGATAGCCTTCAACGTCTCCTAATAGGTGTTTAAATTTGACTGTAGACCATATATTTTCTGAAATTTCTTTCGAAACTGTTTTACAAGCCTTAAAGGCATTCAGTGTGTATTTATGGTTTTATAAAAATATTATTTGTAATAAAATGATTTTCGTTTTCAGAATCTCGTTTTTTTTTAATTTTAACTGTAATATTCTGTGTGTTTACTGTTGTGTCGTACCAGTAAATAGCTTTGCTACTCTCGTAGTGGTTCGGTCATCGCGAGTGAGAAATTACCATCATGCTAGTATTGTATGGTACTACTGTCGGGTAAGGTAGCTGCCATCGAGATAGTAATTTTATTTACTATTTTAAGGTAAAAAATATTACTACTGGTGGGTAGGTTTACTGCCGTCGAAAAAGTAGTATTTTTTACAGTTTTATAGTAATTTTTGCTACCATCAATCTCTGTAAATTTACTGAAAATACTGTTCATAAAACTACTGATAGGGCCTGTAAATTTTTTTACATGGGCCAGTACTTTTGCTGCCATTTTTTTTTAGAAAATTTGGAAAAAAAATTTTAACAGTGTGAATGCGCCCCGATTGTATTACAATTTGGGATAATTTCCTTTTAAAGTTTGTCGTTTGTAAATGTCACTGATTTTGACTGCTTTGGTTTTCAAAATTAAAGTTAATCGAGGCTAAAGGAATTTCCTGATCTATTTGACAGAGTTAGAACGAACATTTAAAGGTACTTTCACTAGTTATTTGTTCGATTCGAAATAGAACTGCAAATTAGGTTCATTATGCCGTTCAGAAGTCAATTACCAGATGTACAACTTTCAGAAAAAGCGTTATCACAATTTATTTTTCACGAAATAAAAGATCTTGGAGATAAAATCGCATTGGTAAGTAAGTATTATTGAGGAAATAATAAAATTGCAAAACAATTGCTAAAATTATGATGAGCATTTGTATAACTTATTGAAGACAGTTGTTGTTGTTTAATTTACAGATGATTTAGTGACATTGATTAAACAATAATTGGTTTACAATTGTATCACGACAAATTGTCTACATTCATTCACAGAGTAATTCATTTTCGTCTATCGGGATCATTAAATTTGTGGTTGATAACTCGACATGTGCGGTCGGTATTAATTTTTCACGATCGATAATAAAGGAAATCGTTTCAGACAACTTTGAAAAAGCTGAATGTGCACTGGAAGCCAGATAGAGTTTAGAATTTAATAAAGTACAAAATTCAACCCTTCATAAAGTCGACATCCTTAACACACCAATCATAAAATTTATTCAAAATATATATATGTATGGCCGCTCGTGCATAATATTTGACAATACTTAATCTTATCGAGCATGTGATGAAGCCTTGAGATATAGAAATGTATGCACATTTCATACCTAATTTCTTGAAGGTCTAAGATTATTTCGTTAAAGTGACACATGTTTTCGCAAGTTTATGTATTTTGACATTTAGCCACCTCGAAGGAAAGGCAAGCAAAATTCACTTGATTATTAATGTGTGATCCACATATGTATAATATTATGGCAATAGTATGAGCATTTACGTGTGTCGTATTGTAATAATATTAACGACATTTACAGTGAACTTGGCCGAAAAAAATCCATTTGTAAGGATTTGGCGGATATGTGAGGAGGTTGGTGTTTATGAGTGCTGTCATGTATAATGCTGGATAATGTGAGGCACGGCACTGAACATCAAACGCAATTTTATTCAGGTTGACAATTCAATCGATGGAAAGTCGTTAACATTCAAGCAAGTCTATGACCAATCAAGAAACTGTGCTGGGTATTTACACGAAGCGGGACTTGGCAAAGGTGATGTTGTTGGCCTTTGCTCTCCTTCTTCACTCGAGTTCGCACTGGCAATGTTGGGTATCCTTGCATGTGGCGGTGTTGTTAGTCCTTGTAACCCTGCGTACAGTGTGGGTGAGTATTTGGTGCTCCAAAATTGACCCGATTCCAGATTTATCTCCCATCCGGTATTTATGTAGAAGATAAACCACTGCGTACTGGCATATCCTTGTCTAAATAAAACTTAGATTTCACACTCGTTTATCATTTTCCAGGATTAGTTCTCGTGAGCCCGCGACCTCGCTCTAAAAAATCTTACATGAAAATGTCACACTGCCATATTTAGAGCACACGTTCACGGCCTACCCACACAAGCAAAATATCATTTTGTACTTTATCCTTTCAACGAACTGAGTTTTGGGGCTCTTCAAAATTTCAATGTTCAACTACTCGTCGAAATTTAATAAATTAATATCACTTCATCTGAATATTACATCTTCTGCCTAAGAATTATATCTATACTAACATAACATATAGCATGAATTCACTTCATATGTGTACTTTAACATTTGCACCACAATATATATATATATATATATATAGTAGAACGGCGGGAAGATGGGCCGACCCCCTTATTGAAAATTTTCCATATTTGGAAACCGTTTGTCAAATATTCCTAAACCTTGGTCACTAATTACATATAAATCTCACTTTTATAGCCACTCGGCGACGTCTGCCGATCGCCAACCCTCGCGACGACAAAATCTCACCAAAGTATTGAAAACGTACTCTGCTGATCCTTAAAATATAAAAAAACGATATATTTGAAAGAATCCCAGCTCATTAAAAAATGTACCCACTGTTCATCTTACCCTATATATTTTCGCAGCTGACAACCATGAGCATAACCCATGAAAAGTATCATGAAATACTTTCTAATTAAGCGGTAAAATGTTATTGGCTTGCACTATTACGCAAATCCCAATCATAACAACGAAAGAGCTCACGGGATTGAGTAAGGTTCATAAAATTTTATTTAGCACGTGAGAAACATATGTATACAAAATAGCAGAGCAGTCATCACATTGTGGGGACACAATGATTCTTCAATAAGCACCGGGGGAAAATATCAGCAACTTTGGTATTTGGTTTTTGGTATTTCTGTCACTACAAGAGCTGACAGACCGGCTTCAATTTTTTCACCTGGCAATACCATAACGTCTGTCTGAATGGCTTTTCGACTGTCTGGGGAGCCCTTGAAAGAGGCAAGATATCTTCGAATGATTCATCTTACAACTTATACTGTCTGGTTTTCTGCTTTAGCCCTACCTGAAAAATTTCTTGGAAAATCACTTCTTCGAAAGCTACCTGAATTCCCCAACGAAGTTTTACCAAAACTTGCCAAAGAGTACCAAGGCTCGCCTGACGCAGTTGTTACACTTCCCACCTCTGTTTTATCAACATCGTAAATCTTTCTGGGATGATCAAAACGACAGAGGTCCTTCATGACACTTTTCAACCTGTCATAATACAACTGGACGGTTGGTTTGTTAAGGTTTTCCCTCTCCGTGGAATGCCTCTGAGGTTTTCTTATGTAAGGGTGCCGAGATCTGAATTCAGCCCATCAATCTTTTCCGGCCATTCTCTGTGAAAATTCTCTTGAAAAATTTGTTCTTTATGCCATTGCGAACAGCAAACTTGTATGCCACTTACTGTTAATGAAAATCCTGTCTTTTTAAACTAAAAAATAAGTTTAACAAGATTCTCCTCGGTTTTTCTTGGAAATATGGAACTAGGGTCGAGATGTTTCCATGTCATTGCCTTCTTAACAGGTCGAAACACGTGTCTGCGTTAAGTTGTTCTTGGAACGTTGTGAGTACGTGCTACACTCTTTAATTTCTCCCCTTTCTGCTAGATAGATTTTATTTTGAAAACCCCATAATACACCCAAATTATAAATGAAGACTTCTGGAGAGCGAGCGAAATCTTCAAAAAAAGTTTAAAACATGAGAAATATTATGTGCCCGCCCACCATCACACACACAAATGAGTTACAAAAAAAAAACCTAGTTAAACGAGACTTGTGGCAGAAATAAACGAAAAAACATACGTGAATGTATTGAACTTTCGGTCTGTTCTACATTTGAAGCACTCAAGCTAATACAGTAATAATGATTTATATAATCCTGTACGGTGTATATATCTGTATAGACCAAATTTAAATGTCTTGCATTTTTTGTAATTTTCTAGTTATCTTTCATTGTAGACGTGTGCAGTTTTAATATAGAATATTTTTTATATACTTTTTGATATTTTTATCATGATAAACATGGTCAAGATTTTTGATAATCGTTCATTGAGTGGCAGCTTTCTGAATCGCGTTGTTTGCTTCGCTGTTAGAAGATTGTAACGCCATAAGCATAGATAATAAATTGGACTTGGATATAAGCATTGCCACGCAAAGGGAACCGGATTAAAATAGATTAAAAACTCTTTTCGCTGACTGAACATCATTCAAAGTTAGCACTTCTCCGCGGGCCGCACAATTTTCCCTTGCGAGCCGCACTTCGCACACCCCTGGTATAGATAAAAGACGGCCAATGTCAAACGCTTCCATTACCGGTACCCTAGGCCAGGGCCACTCAACTGGCGAACCGCGGTCCGAATCCGGACCATTCGAGTATATGATTCGGACCGCACCTAATTCTTTATATTGATCATTAGCCCCACTTTTAAAGTTTCATTTTATAAAAAGATTTTTATTGTTTTGAATATATATGAAAAAAACTATAACACCATAATAAACAATCTTGATTAGCTGGTCGAGGAAGTGCGCGTTTACGGATGCCGAAATATAATTTCTGGAAATACAGGACCCAAATAATTTTGAAATTTTGTATGCGGATCTTCGGTAAAAATAGTTGAGTAGCCCCGCCCTAGGCGACATTAAGGCTACAGTCAGCACGCATATTTCACAGGTCGGCAGAATGTCATGGTCTAGGTGTAGTGACGTCAGCGGCAACACCACGCCCATTAAAAGTTTGATTTAGATAGACCATGTTTATCGTCATAAAAACACGGAAGAATATCAAAAAATCACTCTATATATAAAACTGCCCACGTTTACAACGAAAGATAACTAGAAAATTATAAAAAAAAAATGCAAATTTCTGTCCTGGTGATCACATTCCCCATAAGAACCAATGTTAAAATTGTTTTGTTTATGCCGCTTTTATTTTTGCGCGTAGAATGGGTTTTGAATGACTAAGGTCTATAGATACACATCTGTTTGAAACAATCCTTCTTCACATTAGACACAATCGATGCGTTGTACAAATGTTTTTGATTTTCTATCGATAGCGAAAATTTCAATTTCTTCTAAAAACTAAATAAATGAACCATATTAAACTACTATTATAAACGTTTCTGTTTTGGAACATTACAAAAAAATATATTTTACAGGAGAAATATTACAACAGTTCCAAATAACAAAGCCCAAGATGGTGTTTGTACACGAAGACTGCTTGAATACAATGAAGGAAGTCCAGAGAAAAATTGATTTTTTAGAGGTAGCATTCATCAGATAGAAACGTATCATTGCTCATTACAATAGGCTAATTTATTACTTGTAGCGTAGCTTCCCCACGTTGCGTTCATTATATGACCCTGATTTGCATACGTTGGGCAAGTAATACTAGTGAGATGAAACCACACCGATGTGACCATCTGTGAATTTTCAGACGTTTTTATATATAATGTATATATTTTTTCATACCTGATTAATTTCTTATAAATGTTTATATCATGTTTAATATTCTACATTTAAGAAATTGTTTATCATTGGAGAAAGCAGCGAATTCGTTACAATGAGTGAGATGGTTGGTGACAAACATAGTGAAGGTTTGTTTATATACAAAACATTTTACTTATAAATTTCATCACTTCAGTAGTAACCCATTCGTATGACACTTACAATCATAATATTATACATATGTGATATTTCTTGCTCCAGAATTCCCAAAGCACATTGCTATTAACGCTGACGAAGATTTAGCTATATTGCCGTATTCCAGCGGAACGACGGGATTACCAAAAAGTGTTATGCTAAGTCACAGGAACTTGACATCCTCTATCATGATTTTTCGGTGAGCTTTTTCTCATAAGCAAGTTATTCCAGCATGCTGGAAACACTTTATGAATGTATGTATTGAATGTATTGAACTTTCGGTCTGTTCTACATTTGAAGCACTCAAGCTAATACAGTAATAATGATTTATATAATCCTGTACGGTGTATATATCTGTATAGACCAAATTTAAATGTCTTGCATTTTTTGTAATTTTCTAGTTATCTTTCATTGTAGACGTGTGCAGTTTTAATATAGAATATTTTTTATATACTTTTTGATATTTTTATCATGATAAACATGGTCAAGATTTTTGATAATCGTTCATTGAGTGGCAGCTTTCTGAATCGCGTTGTTTGCTTCGCTGTTAGAAGATTGTAACGCCATAAGCATAGATAATAAATTGGACTTGGATATAAGCATTGCCACGCAAAGGGAACCGGATTAAAATAAATTAAAAACTCTTTTCGCTGACTGAACATCATTCAAAGTTAGCACTTCTCCGCGGGCCGCACAATTTTCCCTTGCGAGCCGCACTTCGCACATCCCTGGTATAGATAAAAGACGGCCAATGTCAAACGCTTCCATTACCGGTACCCTAGGCCAGGGCCACTCAACTGGCGAACCGCGGTCCGAATCCGGACCATTCGAGTATATGATTCGGACCGCACCTAATTCTTTATATTGATCATTAGCCCCACTTTTAAAGTTTCATTTTATAAAAAGATTTTTATTGTTTTGAATATATATGAAAAAAACTATAACACCATAATAAACAATCTTGATTAGCTGGTCGAGGAAGTGCGCGTTTACGGATGCCGAAATATAATTTCTGGAAATACAGGACCCAAATAATTTTGAAATTTTGTATGCGGATCTTCGGTAAAAATAGTTGAGTAGCCCCGCCCTAGGCGACATTAAGGCTACAGTCAGCACGCATATTTCACAGGTCGGCAGAATGTCATGGTCTAGGTGTAGTGACGTCAGCGGCAACACCACGCCCATTAAAAGTTTGATTTAGATAGACCATGTTTATCGTCATAAAAACACGGAAGAATATCAAAAAATCACTCTATATATAAAACTGCCCACGTTTACAACGAAAGATAACTAGAAAATTATAAAAAAAAAATGCAAATTTCTGTCCTGGTGATCACATTCCCCATAAGAACCAATGTTAAAATTGTTTTGTTTATGCCGCTTTTATTTTTGCGCGTAGAATGGGTTTTGAATGACTAAGGTCTATAGATACACATCTGTTTGAAACAATCCTTCTTCACATTAGACACAATCGATGCGTTGTACAAATGTTTTTGATTTTCTATCGATAGCGAAAATTTCAATTTCTTCTAAAAACTAAATAAATGAACCATATTAAACTACTATTATAAACGTTTCTGTTTTGGAACATTACAAAAAAATATATTTTACAGGAGAAATATTACAACAGTTCCAAATAACAAAGCCCAAGATGGTGTTTGTACACGAAGACTGCTTGAATACAATGAAGGAAGTCCAGAGAAAAATTGATTTTTTAGAGGTAGCATTCATCAGATAGAAACGTATCATTGCTCATTACAATAGGCTAATTTATTACTTGTAGCGTAGCTTCCCCACGTTGCGTTCATAATATGACCCTGATTTGCATACGTTGGGCAAGTAATACTAGTGAGATGAAACCACACCGATGTGACCATCTGTGAATTTTCAGACGTTTTTATATATAATGTATATATTTTTTCATACCTGATTAATTTCTTATAAATGTTTATATCATGTTTAATATTCTACATTTAAGAAATTGTTTATCATTGGAGAAAGCAGCGAATTCGTTACAATGAGTGAGATGGTTGGTGACAAACATAGTGAAGGTTTGTTTATATACAAAACATTTTACTTATAAATTTCATCACTTCAGTAGTAACCCATTCGTATGACACTTACAATCATAATATTATACATATGTGATATTTCTTGCTCCAGAATTCCCAAAGCACATTGCTATCAACGCTGACGAAGATTTAGCTATATTGCCGTATTCCAGCGGAACGACGGGATTACCAAAAAGTGTTATGCTAAGTCACAGGAACTTGACATCCTCTATCATGATTTTTCGGTGAGCTTTTTCTCATAAGCAAGTTATTCCAGCATGCTGGAAACACTTTAATTTCTTGAAACTAATGTAGACTTCGATATAATGTCAAATACATTATTTCAGTGACCGTGTACCACATGAAACCTCAGATATTTCATACTCGGACCGTCCAATGTATCATGCGAGTGGATACGGGATGTTAATTACGTCACTAACATCTGGACGAAAGTTGGTTTTTGAAAAAAACTTTGATACAAAGACCATGCTACGAGCGATTGAAAAATATAAGGTAAGACATCGGTAGAAATGTAAGGAAATCTAACTACAGATTTTTTCCATTCCTTTTCATTTGTATCTTGTTGTTGTTGGATAGAAAGTTATGGGTGGGCGCTAATATAATAAACAAACTATTTGTTTTTAGGATTTCGACAGTGGTTTAATTGAGTTTATCCAGCCCACGTCGTCTACAATACGAGTCCTTATATTTAGTACATTCGATACTCATCCACTTATTAAATCTGTTCTACCATCATTTCGTGGTTTTAGATCACCTGACTTGGGACGGTACCATCAATCTTAATCCAACTAGTTAACGATGATATCACCGCAAATTACGATGTTACCAGTCTTAAGCAAGTAGCATGCAGAGGGGCAGCTCTTTCTCAGGACATATTAGAAAAACTAGCAAAAAAGTTCGATGTTTTTATGAAACCAGGTAAATTTTGAATGATACAAAAAGTGAATTTTCAAACTAATTATACGCAAAGTTTCGGATATACACTGCAGTGATATACTATAATACAATAGAATGAATAGATTAAAATAGGCTGGTCGGTGCCAGATCCAAAAATCCACAATTTTGCTACACTAATTTGGTGTAATACATATATGCGTACAGACCCATCCGTTTAAACCTCTTTGAAAAAAGTTTCATAACTAAGTATCAACCCCAATAGAAGGAAAACTTCTATTGTAAAAGTCTAACGGGAAAATCCAACCACGAATTAATCTCAAAAAAGTGACGAGATAACAAACAAATAAGTGACGAGATAACAAAAACATGATTACTTACTTGTATTTATCAAGCGTATGCAATGAATGTCTTATGATCGCCTATCATTTTGGAGAGGGAAGTTTATTTGACGGCGTTGGAAAAAATTGTCCAAATATGAAGGTCAAGGTAAGTTAGGGTTGCCAACCGTCCTTTATTTCAAAGGTCAATTCTTTATTTAAGCTTTTCGGTCCCGGTCCTTTTAGCATTTAGAAAATATGCTAATTGTCCTTTATTCTTTCCAACGTCGTTATAGTTATAGTAATGCGGCCCGCCTGGCATTTTTTTGCGGCCCGCGTCATGATTGGGATTTTTCCACAAAAAACTAAAATAGCACGATGTCAACTTTTAGTAAGTTTTATCGTGTCATTTATCATCAAGAGTCCGGTCCGACAAAATGTAAAACGTGGAGCAAAAATTTCCACGTTCATGTTTTATTCTATTGTTACAATTCAATAATGATTAAATAATTTCATTCCGCATGTTCATTCTGACGAAATAAACGAGTTTCGATCCGTTCATTACGCCCGAAGAAAGGTTTGCGAAGCTAAATGCACATTCACGTTGCATACCTGCGATGTTTGACAGATCTTATATTTGCGAGCATTTTTTTTCAACTATGAAAGTTAGCAAATATCCAGCACAAGTAAATGAATAGGTTTCATGTCTCGTTTGCTGTAAGATTCAAGTGTAATTTCAACACAATACATTCAGATACTCATTTTTATACCTAATTTTTGGTTTGCGGCCCGCGTGGCCAATAAATTTCAAAAAGTGGCCCGCGACATGTTTTGAGTTGGAGACCCCTGGACTCTAGTGTAACATAATATCACCATTAGCCTGTAGTAGCAGCCGTTGAAAAGAAAATTAATCCTTCAAAAAATAAATATAAAAATAATATATATGGCCCTGTTCAGATGTATATATGTTATACATTCATAAACAGCGTAAAATCATTTCAATTCTCTGTCAAAATACTTAAATTTTTGCATTAAAGATAATTGATCTGCTAACGGGAAAGGAGCTTTCTGAAAATGAGACTGGAGAAATTCTGGCACACGGACCTCAGGTATAGAGTAATAGGTTTGTTTGTTATTTGTTTCGAGTACCGAAGCGAAGATTCAGAACTTTTGTTGTTAGTAGCCAATTTAATATTGGTCACTTGACATAGAAGTTTTTTTTTTCAATATTAAAATCATCTTTCAAAATGGTTAAAAGGGGTTTGCCCATTACAGCTTATAAAAATCCGTTGAGTCATATTATGACAAATTTGATTGTAATTTAGTAAATACTTTAGTTAATTTAGTGATTGCGGAAATTACTGATATTGCTGAAAATAACACTGAATTGTACCAGACAAGCTTTTCCTTTTGTGCTGAGAACTTTATTTAAAGATAAATGCTACCAAGTTATGATAGCATCTAATTTTCTATCATTACAATTAAATTTATATGAATTAAAATCCACATGAAAAAAAAACATTTTTATTTCAAGTTGTCGCTTATTGGGTGTTCCTTAGACCTGTTTTTATAAATCCATAACCTCCTTTCTTAAAAGGATGATAAATTATGGTACAAATAGCAATGCAACCCAAGTAGCTTTCTGAATTTATGTTTCGCTTAGAAAAGTTGTTCATATACAGTCTTCAAGTTTAAAACTAAATAGTGAAGAGTGCTGCTCTTTGCAGGTCATGAAAGGATACATGGGGAACCCAGATGCAACAGCACGAACTATTACGAAAGATGGTTGGATGCACACAGGTGATATCGGATATGTTGATCATGATGGAATATTGTATATAATTGATCGCATCAAAGAAGTCATCAAGTACAAAAGCTTTCAGGTATAGGTATATTGTGAGAACGGCTGTCTATTTTCTGATTTCAGTTTTGCCGAAAATGAAAAGGCAATTTGATAAAAGCGCTAATGCTTATGCCAGGACTGAAGTGGTTCTACAGTCTCAAAAAATATGTATGTTTTTATGCAAGATTGTCTTAAATTGTCGTGTTTGAACAAGTTTTGATTTCTATGTTCCGTTTGATTCAGGTGTCACCTGCAGAGCTAGAGAGGGTTATATTGAAACATCCCAAAGTCGAGGATGTAGGAGTTATTGGAATTCCTGATACTTATGCAGGTGAACTTCCAAAAGCATTTGTCGTGAAGAAGGTTGATAATCTAACCAAAGACGACGTGAATGCTTTTGTGAAAGGTAGGAGTCACATAATTTGACATATGGAAACATTACAAATTTTTCGCAATTATAAAGAACGTTTCATCATTCAGGCGAACTGGTTGATTACAAACAACTGAGAGGTGGAATTGAGTTTGTTAAGAAGATCCCAAAATCAGCCACAGGGAAGATTCAACGTATTGAATTGAAAAAAATGGCCGGAATTAAATAAAATAAACGTGCAATTGTCAAATTTGTTAGATAATTTTTATTTAATGAAAATAGGATGATGAAAATATAACCTGTTCATAGTTTCCAGAATGATTTAAACTCATGGCTATGGCATTCGAATTCAATTGATTTTGAAAACGGAGATTCGTTGCGAACACTTGACCTCAAATGATGATAATATGTTTTCGATATTTTCATCAAATGTTGTTGCAATAAATACATATAAAAAGATGAAGCTGGATTCCATTATTTTAAACACGTGCGAATTCTTCGTTCTATTTTAAATTATCCGCGGATACAATGCATGACCTACCTCTACCGAAACGGACTTCATCGCCTAAAAACCACTTTTGCCCAAATCACCAAGTGCAAATTTACAACAGATTACGAAGAATCAAATATAATACCCTGAAATGCATTGTTACAGACAGAAGCAGTAAATCAGCGCCTCAAATATTTTCTATTAGGGAATATGCTCACGCTGGATTATCGTTAGCTTAAAGAAATACCAAACATGTCGGTTACTCAGGCCGACTGATAGGGAGCGATCGAACCATTGGTTATTAATCCTTGGAGTTGTGAGCGCCCGCTTGTATACATTACAGAATACAACATATGCACATTTAATACAATCCTCGGCGTGGTAAACCAATCGTTACAGCGATCCAAAAATTTGTAACGATGTTACCACTTAGACAGCAAATTGGGATGAGATTTATTCTGGTATAATCCGTATAGGGATCCAAATACGTATTTTACGGGCCATAAGGCGCATTGGATTATATGTGGCATTGTCAATAAATTGCTTGAATAGGTTTTTTATTCATACATAAGGCGCACCGGACTATAAGAAGCCACAATTTTTTAAGAAGTTGAAGACAGCGTTTTATTTATGAAACAATAGCACCGGTGCTGGTTTTGAGGAAAAAGTATAAGGCACTACCTGATCCATACATTCGGCGCACCGGCTTAGGTGAACGATCAATTTTCGAGAAAAATAAAACTTAAAGTGCGCCTTATGGTCCTCAAAATACGTACATGCCCATTGATAGTTGCATGGTGTGGACAATTTATTATTGAGAAAAATGTTCAGAAAAAAATAGTTTAATGAAATCAAAATTGACGTTAATATTATAAAATAGATGATATATGGCTAGTTTCCAACAAAGTGACAGCAGATGCTCGCGGATGTGGCCTTTGAGGAAAACGCGAGTCAACATAGTCGTTTGAACAAGAATCAACACGTTTGGTTCGACTTTTCACATCTTCAGCGTCAACCCCTATGATACGAAATTTCTTTTTATTTGCAAAAATCACCAGCAGAAACTTTCAAAAATAAGTTTTCGTTAAGATTATGTCTAATGTGATATATTGGCCCGATTTTGTGATTAAATTTGTCGAGATAGCATGCTGATGATCATTAGAAAGTTGCTTATCCATGTTTGCAGATTTTCGTCGTCACATATGGATATTACACTATAGTTACTTTGTCGATTTTTTCAAACTTCATTTATTTGTTCCTGGATAATTTGATAGACACAAATGAGATATCTTACTGTATGTGTATATCCTAATCAGGTTATACATATAATTAATCAAATAATACAAGCTATCACTCACTATACAAATTTGCCGGACACAAAACTTTCAGAATTCAAGTTTATTTACTTAAAGCAAACAAAGATGAATGTAGGACACGGCTTAAGCAAACAGGTAACCGGATCACGCGATCTATCATTGACAGAGTTTTTGTTGAAAAAAAATTGCTACATCACTGCTGGCATATAAAAAAAACGCGATGATGATGCAGATATCGTTAAAATAGTATGGATTTTGAAATCTCGCATTTTCTGTTTATCTCTGTATTAATCAATACCCATGAGTTATTGTGCAAGTTTTTGAAGTTTGCATTACAGGCCAGTAGTTCTTTATTCAGTGAAATATTCAATACTGGCGAAGAATTGCTTTAGGATAATGGGACATACAAGAATTGTAGTATTATACTTTCAAGGCTGGATTATGAAAATAATGCGCCCCGATTGTACTAGAATTTAGGATATTTTCCTTTTGAAATTTTCCGTTTGCAAATGTCACTGAACTTGACTGCGTTAATTGTAAAGTTAAAAGTAATAAAGGCTGAAGGAATCTCCAGACTAGGCGATCACCAATTTGACAGGGTTAAAACGAACATTTAAGGGTACTTTTCACTACTTATTTGCCTAATTCGTAATAGAACTGTAAATTAGGTTCATTATGCCGTTCAGAAGTCATTTACCAGATGTACAACTTTCAGAAAAATCATTATCAGAATTTGTTTTTCACCAAATAAAAGATCTTGGAGATAAAATTGCTTTGGTAAGTAAGTCTTATTGAGGAAATATCAAAATTGCAATATAACTTGCCCAACGGAATATAATATAGATATTGACATATATATATATAGTTAACATATAATATAGATTGTTGTTCAATTTTCAGATGATTTAGGGAATTTGATTAAACGATAATAGGTTTACAATAGTATCAAGATGGATATTCTACATCCACTCACAGAGGTTAGGTCTATCGAGGCCATGTGGTCGGTAACTCGGCATGCATGGTCAATATTGACTTTTTTTTACATAAGAAGTTGGTGTGTGAATTATGCGAATTAGGTAACATTTCACGATCGATAATAGAGGGAAAGCGTTTCAGACAACACCGAAAATTCGAAATGAGCGCCTGAAGCGCGATAGGGTGTAGAATAGAAAGTATAAATTGCAAAATTTCCAGCCATTCTCAAAGTCGACGTCCATGGCATTCCAGTCATGAAATTTATTCAACATTTGTATGGCCGCTCGCGTTATAATATTCAAAAATACTAAGTTTGCATCTGATTATGCATGTGAAGCCTCGCAATATGTTAAGCAAGTCAGGAATATATGCACATTTCATACTTGATTTATTATACAATAATTCCACTCAAGTGACACATATGTTTCCGCAGATTAATGTATTTTCATATTTGGTCACCTTGAAAAAGAGGCAAGCTAACTTTTACCTGATTAGTAATGTGTGATCCGCATTTGTATAATATTATTGAAATAATATAAGCATTTTATGTGTATCGTATTGTTGTTTACATTATAATATTATTTATTAACGTGTGTCATTTACACAGTGAACTTACACAGTGAAAAGATCTTTTTGTAAGTACTTGCCAGACATGCGAATAGATTGGTGTTTATGAGTGCTGTCATCATGTGAAGCGCTTGATCATGTGAAGCACAACAAACCATTGCGCACCAAGAGTTAACTGCTTAAGTATTCTCGCTATTGTTTAGTAACGCAGAGAATATTATATCACTGAACATAGAATAAATTTTATTCAGGTTGACAATTCAATCGGTGGAAAGTCGTTAACATTCAAGCAAGTCTATGACCAATCAAGAAACTGTGCTGGGTATTTACATAAAGCGGGACTTGGCAAAGGTGATGTTGTTGGCCTTTGTTCTCCTTCTTCACTCAAGTTCCCAGTGGCAATGTTGGGTATCCTTGCCTGTGGCGGTGTTGTCACTCCTTGTAACCCTGCGTATAGCGTAGGTAAGTATTTGGTGCTTCAAAATTGACCTGATCCGAGATTTATTTCACATTATTAATTTATGTACAATACAAACCAGTACTAACTGGCATCTCCGCGTAAAAAATAAATATATTATCTTACATTTATATATCATTTTCCTGGATTAGGCTTTGCGTATAGTTTTCAAACACGCAAACTATGATTTTGTACTGCGTCCGTTAAGCAATCTGATTTTTGTTGCGCTTCAGCTTTCGTCGAAAATTAATGAATGAATATCACTTCATATGAATATTATATCATCTAACAAAGAATTATATATATCTATCCTAACATAACATATAACATGAATTTACTCCATATGTTCACTTCACAATTTACACCACAATATATATCTACACTAACTCAGAACAGTGGGACAAGTGTAGCAACGTGGGACAAATATGGCATGACATTCTTGAAGACACTGGTTTGAAGCAATCCTTCATCACATAGGATACAAACATAATTATTGATTTTCATTGCTCTCACTAGTTTCTACCGCAATATAACTCAGAATAGTGGGACATGTGTAGCAAAGTGGGAAAATTGAGCCATGAAATTAAGACACATCTGTTTGAAACAATCCTTCTCCACATTAGACAAATTAATGATTTTTGATGGCTTTAACAGGACAAATTTCAAAAATAACTTTACTCACAAACCTTCAACTCAGCATGGTTGTATTTGTAGGCCTACAAATGTTTATTATTCTCTGCCAAAAGAAAAAATAAATCAATTTATTCTAAAAACGAAATAAATAAAGCATATTAAACTGCTATTATGAACGTTTCTGTTTGAGAAAATCACCAAAAAAATATATTTTACAGGAGAAATATTACAACAATTTCAAATTTCAAAACCAAAGATGGTATTTGTACACGAAGAAAGCTTGAATGCAATGAAGGAAGGCCAGAGAAAAACTGATTCTTTAGAGGTAGCATCATTCATCAGATAGAAATGTATCTTTGCTCATTACAACAGGCTCCCTTATTATTTGTAGTAAGCCGCCCCCACTTTTATTCCATGTGACGTCAATTCGCATACGTTATGCAAGAAATACTAGTGCATTATAGCCACACCAATGACATCTTTTTGAAATTTTCAGACGTTTTTATATACAATGTATATATCTGTTTGTATATTTATTTAATTTCTCATAGATGTTTATAATATTTTATATATTATAAATCCTAGAAAATGTTTATCATTGGAGAAAGCAATGAATTCACAACAATGAGCGAGATGATTGGTGACGAATATAGTGAAGGTTTGTTTATATAGAAAACATTTTACTTATAAATTTCATCACTATATTCCAATGTAGTATCACTATCCATTCATATCACTATCCATATGTGATATTTCTTTTTCCCAGATTTCCCAAAGCACATTGCTATCAACGCTGACAAAGATGTAGCTATATTGCCGTATTCTAGCGGAACGACGGGTCTCCCAAAAAGCGTTATGCTAAGTCACAGGAATTTAACATCCTCCTTCTTGATATTTCGGTGAGCTTTTTCTGATAAGCAGGTAGTTCTAGCATGCTGGAAACATAATTGCATGAATCGAATATTAATTTCACTGTAATATTTGTTTAATAAAAAAGGCGTTTTTGCAGAACGATTGAAACCAATGTATAGATTCCGATATAATGTCGAATCTAATATTTCAGTGACAGAGTACAACACGAAACCTCAGATATTTCATACTCGGACCGTCCAATGTATCATGCGGGTGGATTCTGGGAGTTAATTAGATCACTATCTATGGGACAAAAGCTTGTTTTGGAGAAAGAGTTTGATACGAAGACTATGCTACGAGCGATTGAAAAATATAAGGTAATACAGCGATAGAAATATAAGGAAATATATTTGTGTGTGTATCTTTAAAAAGGTCTACCCTACAGTCTCTTTCCAAAATTTGTGCCTTGTTGTTGTTAGATAAAAAGTTATGGGTGGGCACTAACATAATGTGATGAACCTAATATAAAAATAAACAAGCTCGTAAACTAGGCTTTTATCAGCTCAAGCGTCAACTAAGAGTCGCAAAGCAGCACAAACCAAAGGACGAACAGTAGAAGTCAGCAGGCTCACCAATCACCACATTTTCACCAACTGATAAAAGTATAATATTAACTCAATACTGAAACATTAATCTGAAATGAAGGAATTCAAAAAATTCTCAATGACCAGGCCCAGTCTCCATAACGATCAGACGACTCGACCGACGAATAGGCATCCCTTCCTTCTTCATTGAAGAAGAAGTTCCGTGTGCTACTTCAACTAAGTAAACAGAAGGAATTGTGTCAACGTTCTTCGAATTAGAATTTTCAAAACTGGATGGCGCATCCTGATGAGATGAATCCGATACGGGTTCAGACTTTTCAATTTCCAATTGCTTGCCATCCGATTGTACAGTTTTAGGTCGCGCCAGATCTCTTGTTGAAACGGAGGATTCTCGACCATCAAGATAACGGATTAACAAGTACTTGATGTTAGCTTCAAGAAGTTCAACTTCTTCACAAATCGGATCACTTTTCGCTCGTACGAACTTGTGTAGAAGTACTTTACCGCCATTCCAAAACCGGTCTGGTATGAAGTTTACAAGCATAAACCGTCTTTTTAGAATTGAACAAGCGATTATGTGGCGTAGTAGCAGTGGAGGTGCAGAGAAGTGATCTTGTCGCATGAAGATCGTCTCGTAAAACTTCCTCCCAAGCACTCTAGGGCAGATTTCTTGATAACAGCATTAGTTTGATAGTTTTCCATATGGTCTGGTTCGCTCTTTCGCATTGGGAATTCCCTTTCGGGTGATAAAGTATTGTTCTCTCCCAAGGCCGAGTAGCTTTTAACCAAGTGATGGCCCTCATTAAATATATTGAAATTGGATTTTATATGGGCACATTGTCGACAATTAACACATTCCATCTTTGCGGTATCAACTGAAAAGGGCAAAGAATTATTAGAGCGTATAAAATGAAGTAATCGACGAACCAGGATGACCCAATCGAGCATGAACTTAGTGACCCATGGTGCAACAAGTGTTGCTAGCACAAATGTTTAACAATGCGTCTAATGTCACATTTTCTTCACCCGGGCGATGGACAATTTCTTAGCCAAATACAGAAAGTTCTAGTTTCCACAATTGTAATTTTGATTTTACTTTTATGATTTTTCCAAAAAATGTGGGCCAGAGCTTTTTGATTTGTTATCAATTTAACTTCTTTCCATGCAAAAGATATTCCCTTTTTCTTACATCTTTAACAATCACACCAGGATGCCTTAATTCCAATTTACTGAGTGTTCGAGAGTTACAGACGACCGGCCATCCTCTTTGACTCAAAATGGCTGCAAGGACAAATTCGGACCCATTACACTCAATAACAAACGGTTCATCTTCATATACTATTTCCAATCACGCTTTTAACAAATCAGCTTTCGACTGATTAAAAGAATATGATGCTTCGTCTCTGTATGGAAACCGTGTATTAGTTGAATATAGCTTATATTTTTCGGAAAATTTAGATATCCATTTCGAATAGTTGGCAAATAATCTCATGCAACGTTTCAAAATATTTTCATTTTAGGTTGGTTTAAGATTAATATTAGGCTGCTTATGATCAGTATCTGGTCGAATTTTGCCATGTGATACCAAACTCCCAAGAAATTGCAGCTCAGTCACTGAAAATACAAATTTATTTATTTAATGTCAAACTTGCCGCTCCGCAGCATTTATAAAGGCTTTCAATCGTTTGTCATGTTCCAGTTGATCATCCCCGTAAATTTTGACGTTATCTAACTAATCAAGGGTGCCTTCAAGATTTTCACGCTGGATGAAGAAGTCCATATATCTTTAAAATACAGCCACTCTGAAGGGAACCCAGCAAAATTGATATAAAGAGTCAGCAGCTTCGAACCCAGTATTAGGTCTGTCAACGTCAGAAATAGGAATTTGGAGATGGGCCAAACGTGAATCATTAGTACTGTAGATCTTTCCTTCAGCAACCTCGTTAATTATATTGTTTATGTGAGGTAAGAGATATGCGTCAAAACCAGTGTATCTATTTATTGTTTGTGAATAGTCAATAACAAGATGTTTTTACGTCTCTGGTCCAACATGACCAATACTTGAGCGCTCCACGGCGACTCTGACCGTTCTATAATGCCTTCCCGCAACAAACGTGCAATTTCATCTTCAATAAACTTTAGATCATCAAGGCTATAATTTATAGCCCTGACAGCAATGAGCATACAGTTATCGTCAATAAATCGAAAAATACATAAAGGTTCACTTACTTTGACGCTAGCCAAATTGCAGCCCTTTTTACGAACGGACAAGGAGTCGCAGTCTCCGTTGAATTTGAAGACAACTCGATGATTGCTCAGAAAATCTTGGCCCAGTATGATGTCCGCACACTGATTTTTCACAACACCAAACTTTATAGCACAACACACTTTCGTTCCAACCTCCAGAGGTGCATCAACGAACCCAATTGTCTGCGCAACTGCTTCGTTCGAAGCATGTCCAATTACAGTGTTTGAACCATAGAGGATGAGGCCAAGATTTTTAGCCACGGATACCTTCATGCAAATCTGTAAAGCTCCGTAGTCTAGTAGAGGCATCAGAGGATTTTCCGCAATATTAGCTGTAATAGTCGATCGTGATAATGGAATAGAAACAACGTTCATAATTAAAGTAAGGTACACATAATATATAAACTACACTCACTGCAGTATCGTTTTTCGTGTTTATAAGAATATCGAATACGCACAAATCCTAGCATTCCATTTTTTTTTTCATTTTTATCGTAATCAAATGCGGACTTGTGAGGCACGTCAATAAGTTACAGCCGACATGAAGGGATTTCAATTAGCATCGACTTGATGTGTTTACATTTTGATTGATTACATTTTGATTGAAAATAATATAAAAATTATTATCGTATACGGTAATTTAATTTAGTCGAGATAGTTCGTGCGGCCTCGTCAATAAATCTCAAAGGAAATTTTGTCGTAATTAATTGTTTTCATCCTCATTTTCGATAGTGACCGAACATGACAGAAATTTCTTCATTTATTGCAATTTAGAGCGTATATGGTAGTTCCTAATTAAATAATATTTAGTTTCAATCACGGATTTTATCGTTATCGTTCGTATCGTTATCGAGTCGTTGATGACAATATCGTTCAGTTTAATTTGAGGGTATTAATTTATAATCAAAAATAAAATCATAACAGCCGACATGAAATATTTAAATCAGCGCCGACTTGAATCAGTGATCAAAATAAAAATGAAGCCTGTGGTAGTTGCCCTGAAGATCACCCAGCAACTAGTTGCCACCGCATTGGCCAGTTTGTTTCCCGCAGGTACGTGCAATTTGCCTCACTAAGTTTCAGTTGCTAACAAAATTCAGTGATGAGACGATTTAGCGTAACAGTTGAAACAAAATAAAACGATGGAAAAAATAAAACTAGAATAGCAAAATAATAAAAAGGAAAGCAAAAATATAAAAGAATAAATTATAATTTTCATGTGAGGGTGCTTATTTTCGTACATTACGTTCTCTCTCAACTGTCAACTTTTAACGCTTTCTCTCACCTCCCCCGACCGCTGTTTTCTCATTCACCGCGGTCTTCGCTTAGCCTAGACGGCCAACGACAAAGGTAAACAAAAATACCGTTCGTGGTTTTTAATTCGTTATTTCTCTGATCTTTCTTCTTTCCCTGTGTACCCTGTCTTATTTATTATGCAGTAATCGAATAATGACATGTATTTGCTACGGGTTTTAATCATTATTTTAATTTATGCGGATATTATGTCCTAGTTTTGAGAGAGCTTGGAACGGATTAGGGCATTTACAAGTAAAATTTGTCCCCACATACGGAATATCTACTTATGAAGAGGCTTCCGGAACGAATTAATTTCGTAGGTAGAGTTTCTACTGTATTTGTTTTTAGGAGTACGACAGTGGTTTAATTGACTCTATTCAGCCCACGTCGTCTACTACAGTACGAGTCCTTGAAATTAAATTAAGTACATTATATACTCATCAACCTATTGAAATTGTTCTAATATCATTTTGTGGTTTTAGATCACCGGTCTTATGACGGTACCATCAATCCTAATTCAACTAGTTAACGATGACACCATCGCAAATTACGATGTAACCAGTCTTAAACTAGTAGCATGCGGAGGGGCAGCACTTTCTCAGGACATATTAAAGAAAATAGCACAAAAGTTCGATGTCATCATAAGACCAGGTAAATGTTAGATAATACAGAAAGTGTATTTTCAAACTAATTATACTCACAAAGTTTCGGATATACACTACGGTGTTATACTAATATAATAGAGATTAAAAAAGGTTGGTCTGTGCAAGAGCCAAATGGCCACCATCGTCCTACACTAATTTGGTGTAATACATATATGCGTACAAGCTGCCACCCAGACGTTTGAATCTATTTGAAGAAAAGTGCCACATCTAGGTAGCAACTACAACAAAATGAAATTCGAATTAATCCTAAAAAATGATTATTAAACGAGATAACAGAAAACAGGATTACTCACTTGTATTTATCAAGCGTATGGAATGACAGAATGTCCTTGTATCGCCTTCCATTTCGGAGAAGATAGTTTATTTGACGGCGTTGGAAACATTTGCCCAAATACGAAGGTCAAGGTGAGTAGGATCAAGTATATTTCACAATCATTCATAATATGATAGGTGGTTAATGGTGATAATAAACTTAACTGTGAAGTTATAGAGCAGTGGTTCTCAACCGGGGCCTGTGGCCCCCTAAGAGGGCCACGTAGTAGTTCAAAAGGGGCCACGACACAAGACTAATAATCGATCATAAAGCGACTTTGTTTGCATATTTTTCTTTCAAAATGAAATTCTTCGTTCAGGACTTCGCCGCAGTTTCCTTACCTGAACAGATTATTTGCCTGCAGACGGACTATTCACTAGACTGCGAGTAACCTTCAGTATCGTATTATGGACGCAAAAACCCATATATATGTAAATTCCTAATGCCCAAAATACGACAGTTACGTTGGTTTTAGCTTTACCAAAGTAAATCGAGATGACAGAGAATGTGCTCAATGATTGCATTGCTCGTATGTAATGAGCAATTATTACGTCCATATAAACTCCAAATCCATAGTGACAAAAATCATCCCTCGGTGAGAGACGCTGACATCGGTTTCCGGGCTGCCAAGCGAGGTAGATTTGACAAGAAAGCAACATTGGCCAAGATCGGGGTTCTGTCGGAAGAAACAAAATCTAGAAAACCGTCTTGATGTTGACAGTGACATTCGTCAGAATATATCAAAAACGGTGCCTAATATAAGAAACCTCGTCTGACAGTCTCAAGCGCGAGGTTCCCTTTGATTGTATATTAAAACGCTTTGACTTTTTTATCCGTGATTTGTTTTTGCATTCCATAAAAGGTCGTAAAAACATATTTCAATCCAACATGTCTAGTTTTTTGGAATGGCAAACAGGGGGGCCACGAGTGCAAAAAGCCGCCAGAAAGGGGCACGGGTCATAAAAGGTTGAGAACTACTGTCTTAGAGCAATAGATGAACAAGAACTTGTAATTAGATACCATTAATAACTCATTCTGGCTCTTTTTTTTCCATATATTCGAGCATTGCTCTCTTGTTTATAAATTTTCAGTTTTTCATGTGAATCGACTTTTTTTGTTTTTAATTATAGTAATTGAATCGTAATTTACTGGATCAACAGCCGCAATGCAATACAATGCGTATTCTTGTGCAACATAACATCACCATTATATTAAACTTTGAAGGGAAATTTAATCCTTCACAAAAATCATTATAAAGATAAGATTGCCTTGTTCAGATATATATATATGTTATACATTCATAAACTGCGTAAAATCAGTTCAATTCTTTGTTATAACATTCAAATTTTTGCATTACAGATAATTGATCTGCTAACGGGAAAGGAACTTTCTGAAAATGAGACTGGAGAAATTCTTGCACAAGGACCCCAGGTATAGAGTAATAGGTTTGTTTGTTACTTGTTTCGAGTACAGAAGCAAAGATGTAGAACTTTTATTGTGAATAGCCAGCCAGTTTTATAAAAATCACTTGGCATAGAAGTTTTTTAATATCAAAATCATCATTCAAAATGGTTGAAAGAGGCTTGCCCATTACAGCTTATAAAATTCCGTATAGTCATATTTGTAATGTATCTAGTTTGATTGTAATTTAGAATAAAATTTTACTACGAATTAATGCTGATACTTGTTATTGCTGAGAATAACCCTGAATTGTACCAGGAAAGCTTTTCCTTTTATGCTGAAAACATTATTTGAAGATAAATGCCATCAAGTTAAGATAGCATCTAATTTTCCAACATTACAATTAAATTTATATGAATTCAAAACCCCATAAAAAAAACATTTTTATTCCAAGATGTCGCTTATTGGGTGTGCCTTAGACCTGTTTTTTATAAATCCATAACCTACTTTCATGGAAGGATGATAAATTATGGTACAAATAGCAATGCAGCCCAAGTACCTTTCGAAATTTATGTTTCGCTTAGAAAAAGCTGTTCATATACAGTCTTCATGTATAAAACTAAATAATGAAGAGTGCTGCTTTCTGCAGGTCATGAAAGGATACATGGGAAACCCAGATGCAACAGCACGAACTATTACGAAAGATGGATGGATGCACACCGGTGATATCGGATATGTTGATCATGGTGGAATATTGTATATAATTGATCGCATCAAAGAAGTCATCAAGTACAAAAGCTTTCAGGTGTAATCATATTGTGAGAACGGCAGTCTATTTTCTAGTTACAGTTTTGCCAAAAATGAAAAGACAATTTGATAATAGCACTAATCCTTATGCCAGGACTGTTGTGATCATTTTTATGGAGGAAATTTTCCAATGTTCAATAGGTTCAAATAAGTATTTACCGCTTTCCACTGCGTGAGATTTTGCGGTTCTACAGTCTCAAAAAATATGTATGTCGGTATGCAAGATTGTCTTAATTTGTCGTGTTTTGATTTTCAATGGTGAACGATTTTTGATTTATATGTAACGTTTGATTCAGGTGTCACCTGCAGAGCTAGAGAGTGTCATATTGAAACATCCCAAAGTCGAGGATGTAGGAGTTATTGGAATTCCTGATACTTATGCAGGTGAACTCCCAAAAGCCTTTGTCGTGAAAAAGGTTGATAATCTAACCAAAGACGACGTGGATGCTTTTGTGAAAGGTAGGAATCACATAATTTGACATATGTAAACATTACAAAGTTTTCGTAATTATAAAGAACGTTTCATCATTCAGGCGAACTGGCTGATTACAAACAACTGAGAGGTGGAATTGAGTTTGTTAAGAAGATTCCAAAATCAGCCACAGGGAAGATTCAACGTATTGAATTGAAAAAAATGGCCGGAACTAAATAAAATAAACGTGCAATTGTCAAAGTTGTTAGATAATTTTGTTTCAATGAAAATAGCATGATGAAAATATAACCTGTTCATAGTTTCCAAAATGATTTTTTAAACTCATGGCTATGGCTATGGCATTCGTATTCAATTGAATTTGAAAACGGAGATTCGTTGCGAACACTTGGCCTCAAATGATGATAATATGTTTTCGATATTTTCATCAAATGACGCTGAATTAAATACATATAAAAAGATGAAGCTGGATTTATTTTATTATTTTAGACACGTGCGAATTCTTCGTTCTATTTTAAATTATCTGCGGATACAATGCATGACCCACCTCTACCGAAACGGACTTCATCGCCTAAAAACCACTTTTGCCCAAATCATCAAGTGCAAATTTACAACAGATTACGAAAAATCGAATAAAATGCCCTGAAATGCATTGCTACAGACATAAGCAGTAAATCAGCGCCCCAAATATCTGCTACTAGGGAATAAGCTAACGCGCCTTAGAGAAATAGCAAATATGTCGATTACTCAGGCCGAGTGATACGGATCGCCCGTTTGTATACATAACACTGATTACAGGATTACCTTGTGCCCATTTAATACAATCCTCGGCATGGCAAACCAATCGTTACAGCGATCCAAAAATTTATGACGATGTTACCAGTTAGACAGCAGATTGGGATGAGATTTAATCTGGTATAATCCGTATATGGATCCAAATACGTATTTTACGGGCCATAAGGCGCATTGGATCATATGTGTCATTGTCAATAAACTGCTTGAATAGGGTTTTTATTCATATATAAAGCGCACCGGGCTATAAGAAGCCACAATTTTTTAAGAAGTTGGAGACAGCGTTTTATTTATGAAACAATAGCACCGGTGCTGGTTTTGAGGTAAAGCAAAAGGCGCTACCTGATCCATACATTCGGCGCACCGGCTTAGGCTCACGATCAATTTTCGAGAAAAATAAGAATTAAAGTGCGCCTTATGGTCCTCAAAATACGTACATGCCCATCGATAGTTGCATGGTGTGGACAATTTATTATTGAGAAAAATGTTCAAAAAAAATAGTTTAATGGAATCAGAATTGACATAAATATTATAAAAAGGATGATGTATGGCTAGTTTCCAGCAAAGTGACAGCAGATGCTCGCGGATGTGCCCTTTGAGGGAAACGCGATTTAACTTAGTCGTTTGAACAAGAATCAACCGGTACACGGTTGGTTCGACTTTTCACATTTCAGCGACAACCCCTATGATACGAAATTTTATTTTATTTGCAAAAATCACCAGCAGAAACGTTTAAAATTTAGTTCTCGTAAAAATTATGTCTGGTCTGATATATTGGCCCAATTTTGTGATTAAATATATCGAGAAAGCATACTAATAATCATTAGAAAGTTGCTTATCCATGTTTGCAGATTTTCGTCGTCACATATGGATATTGAACTATAGTTACTTTGTCGATTTTTTTAAACTACATTTATTTGTTCCTGGATAATTTGATAGACACAAATGACATATCTTATTGTATGTGTATATCCTAATTAGGTAATACATATAATTGATCAAATAATACAATCTATCGCTTACTCACTATACAAATTTGCCGGACACCAAACTTTCAGAATTCAAGTTTATTTATTTAAAGCAAATAAAGATGAATGTAGGACACGGCTTAAGCAAACAGGTAACCGGGTCACCCGATCTATCATTGACAGAGTTTTTGTTGAAAAAAAATTGCTACATCACTGGCATATATGTAAAACGCGATGATGAAGATGATGATGCAGATATCGTTGAAATAGTATGGATTTTAGAAATCTCGCATTTTCTGTTTATCTCTCTAATAATCAATACCCATGAATTATTATTGTTCATTGGAAGTTTTTGAAATATTGCATCACAGGCCAGTAGTTTTTTATTCAGTGAAATATTCAATACTGGCGAAGAATTGCTTTAGGATAATGGGACATACAAGAATTATAGTATTATACTTCCAAGGTTGGATGATGAAAAGAGTGCGCTCCGATTGTACTAGAATTTAGGATATTTTCCTTTTGCAAATGTCACTGATCTTGACTGCGTAAATTGTAAAGTTAAAAGTGATCAATGCTGATAGAATCTCCTGGTCTAGGCGAACACCATCTTGACAGGGTTAAAACGAACATTTAAGTGTACTTTTCACTACTTATTTGCCTAATTCGTAATATAACTATAAATTAGGTTCATTATGCCGTTTAGAAGTCATTTACCAGATGTACAACTTTCAGAAAAATCATTATCAGAATTTATTTTTCACCAAATAAAAGATCTTGGAGATAAAATTGCTTTGGTAAGTAAGTCTTATTGAGGAAAATATCAAAATTGCAATATAACTTGCCCAACGGAATATAATATAGATATTAACATGTATATGATTAACATATAACATAGAATTATTTTAAGTCGGTTGTTGTTCAATTTTTAGACGATTTAGTGAATTTGATTGAACGATAATTGGTTTACTATAGTATCACGATAAATATTCTACATCCACTCACAGAGTGATTCATTTAGGTCAATCGGGGTCATGTGGTCGGTAACTCGGCATGCACGGTCAATATTAACTTTGGTGTTTAGGAGTGCTGTCATTTGTAGCGCTTGATCATGTGAAGCACGGCAAACCATTGTGCACCATGAGTTAACTGCTTAAGTATTCTCGCTATTGTTTAGTAACGCACAGAATATTATATCACTGAACATAGAATAAATTTTATTCAGGTTGACAATTCAATCGGTGGAAAGTCGCTAACATTCAAGCAAGTCTATGACCAATCAAGAAACTGTGCTGGGTATTTACGCGAAGCGGGACTTGACAAAGGAGATGTTGTTGGCATTTGTTCTCCCTCTTCACTTGAGTTCCCAGTGGCAATGTTGGGTATTCTTGCCTGTGGCGGTGTTGTCACTCCTTGTAACCCTGCGTATAGCGTAGGTAAGTATTTGGTGCTCCAAAATTGACCTGATCCGAGATTTATTTCACATTATTGATTTAGGCATATGTACAATACAAACCAGTACTTACTGGTATAGGGTTCTTGCTATTGCCCTCGACTCCGCGTGCCGAGACAAGGCTTCCTAATTCCTGTCCGCTTCCAAGTCTCTGATTAAAACGAGTAAGTTCATTGTTGTATGTTGTATTATAAAAACGACGTTATAAAAGCATAAAATAGATATCAAACAGTAAAATAACTTAACTCAAAAATGAGGCAGATGCTTGGAGTAGTAGTAGGTGCGTGTCGCGAGAGATCCCCGAGTTGAGTGTCAGAAATCGAGTGTGTGAAGGACAAGGAAGCGAGTGTCGAATTTGGTATTCCATAAAGCCAAAACGTGGCAGCGCGTCACAGGTCATGTGACCTGAGCCTAGATGTCGCTATACTGGCATCTCCGCGTAAAAATAAATATAATATCTTACATTCATATATCATTTTCCTGGGTCAGGCTTTGCATACACTTTGCGTATAGCTTTCAAACAAGCAAACTATGATTTTGTACTTCGCTCTTTAAGGCTTAAAGTTTAAGCAATCTGATTTTTGTTGCGCTTCAGCATTCGTCGAAAATTAATGAATAAATATCACTTCATATGAATATTATATCTTCTACCAGGGAATTATATCTATCCTATTCCTAAGACATAACATATAACATGAATTTACTCCCTATGTTCACTTTACCATTTACACCACAATATATATCTACACTAACTCAGAACAGTGCGACAAGTGCAGCAAAGTGGGAAAAATAGGGCATGACATTCTTGAAGACACTGGTTTGAAGCAATCCTTCATTGCATTGAATACAAACATAATTAATGATTTTCATTGCTTTCACTAATATAACTCAGAACAGTGGGACATGTGTAGCAAAGTGGAAAAATTGAGCCATAAAATTAAGACACATCTGTTTGAAACAATCCTTCTCCACATTAGACAAATTAATGATTTTTGATGGCTTTGACAGGACAATTTTTATAAATAACTTACCCACAAACCTTCAACTCAGCATGGTTGTAGGCCTACAAATGTTTTTTATTCTCTGCCAAAAGAAAAAATAAATCAATTCATTTTAAAAACGAAATCAATATAGCATCTTAAACTGCTATTATGAACGTTTCTGTTTGGAAAAATCACGAAAAAAAATATATTTAACAGAAGAAATATTACAACAATTTCAAATTTCAAAACCAAAGATGGTATTTGTATACGAAGACTGCTTGAATACAATGAAGGAAGTCCAGAGAAAAACTGATTCGTTAGAGGTAGTATTCATCAGTTAGAAACGTATCTTTGCTCATTACAATAGGCTCACTTATTATTTGTAGTAAGCTGCCCCACTTTTCTTCCATGTGACGCTGGTTTGCATACTTTATGCAAGGAATACTAGTGCATTAAAGCCACACCGATGACATTCTTTTGAAATTTTCAGATGCTTTTATATATAGGTATAGATCTGTTTGTATATTAATTTCTCATAGATGTTTATATTATTTTATATATTATACATTCTAGAAAATGTTTATCATTGGAGAAAGCAATGAATTCATAACAATGAGCGAGATGATTGGTGACGAATATAGTGAAGGTTTGTTTATATATATACAAAACATTTTCCTTCTGAATTCCATCACTATATTCCAATGTCATGAACCCATTCATATCATACTATCCATATGTGATATTTATTTTCCAGATTTTCCAAAGTACATTTCTATCAACTCTGACAAGGATGTAGCTATATTGCCGTATTCTAGCGGAACGACGGGTCTCCCAAAAAGCGTTATGCTAAGTCACAGGAATATAACATCCTCCTTCTTGATTTTTCGGTGAGCTTTTTCTGATAAGCAGGTAGTTCTAGCATGCTGGAAACCTAATGGTGTGAATCGAATATTAATTTCACGGTAATATTTGTTTAATAAAATGGTGTTTTTGCAGAACGATTGAAACCAATGTAGACTCCGATATAATGTCAAATCTAATATTTCAGTGACAGTGTACACCATGGAAACTCAGATATTTTATACTCGGACCGTCCAATGTATCATGCGGGTGGATTCTGGGGGTTAATTAGATCACTATCTATGGGACAAAAGCTTGTTTTGGAGAAAGAGTTTGATACGGAGACTATGCTACGAGCGATTGAAAAATATAAGGTAATACAGCGATAGAAATATAAGGAAATATATTTGTGTGTGTATCTTAAAAAAGGTCTACCCTACAGCCTCTTTCCAAAATTTGTGCCTTGTTGTTGTTAGATAAAAAGTTATGTATGGGCACTAACATATTGTAATGAACCTAATATAAAAATAAACAAGCTTGTACACTAGGCTTTTATCAGCTCAAGCGTCAACTAAGAGTCGCAAAGCAGCACAAACCAAAGGGCGAACAGTATAAGTCAGCAAGCTCACTAATCACCACATTTTCACCAGCTGATAAAAGTATAATGATAACTCAAGTATTGAAACATTAATCTGAAATGAAGAAATTGGAAAATTGCTTAATGTCCAGGCCCAGTCTCCATAACGATCAGACGACTTTTTTAAACGTCCCGACCGACAAATAGGCATCCCTTCATTCTTCATTGAAGAAGAAGTTTCGTGTGCTACTTCAACTAAGTAATCGGAAGGAATTGTGTCATTGCTCTTCGAATCAGAATTTTCGAAACTGGATGGCGCATTTTGATGAGATGAATCCGATACGGATTCAGACTTTTCAATTTCCAATTGCTTGCCATCCGATTGTACAGTTTTAGGGAATCACGCCAGTTCTCTTGTTGAAACGGAGGATTCTCGACCATCAAGAAAACGGATTAACAAGTAGGCTACTTGATGTTAACTTCTTCACAAATCGGATCCCTTTTCGCTCGTGCGAACTTGTGTAGAAGTACTTTACCGCTGTTCCAAAGTCAGTCTGGTGCGAAATTTCCAAGCATAGACCGTCTTTTTAAAATTGAACAAGCGATTATGTGGCGTGGTAGCAGTGGAGGTGCAAAGAAGTGACCTTGTAGCATGTAGATCGTCTGGTAGAACTTCCTCCCAAATTTCTTGATAACAACATTAGTTTGATAGTTTTCCATATGGTCTGGTTTGCTCTTTCGCATTGGGAATTCCCTTTCGGGCGATAAAGTGTTGTTCTCTCCCACTGCCGAGTAGCTTTTAACCAAGTGATGGCCCTCATTAAATCTATAGAAATTGGATTTTATATGGGCACATTGTCGAAAATTAACACATTCCTTTATCATGTTATCAACAGAAAAGGGCAAAGAATTAGAGCTATAAAATGAAGTAATTGACGAACCAGGATGACCCAATCGAGCACGAACTTAGTGACCCATGGTGGAACAAGTGTTGCTAGCACAATTTTTTGACAAAGCGTCTAGTGCATATTACCTACACCCGGGCGATGGACAATTTTTTAGTCAAATACAGAAAGTTCTAGTTTCCACAATTGTAATTTTGGTTTTACTTTTATGATTTTTCCAAAAAATGTGGGTTAAAGATTTTTGATTTGCTATCAATTTGAACTTTTTACTATGCAAAAGATATCCCCTTTTTCGTACATCTTCAACAAGCACACCGGGATGCCTTAATTCCGATTACTGAGTGTTCGAGAGTTAGAGACGACCGGCCTTCCTCTTTGACTCAAAATGGCTGCAAGGACAAATTCGGACCAATTACACTCATTAACAAACGGTTCATCTTCATATACGATTCCCAATCACGCTTTTAACAAGTCAGCCTTCAACTGATTAAAAAAAGATAATGCTTTGTCTCTGTATGGAAACCATGTATTAGTTGAAAGTGGCTTCTTCGCTCCGCAGCATTTATAAAGGCTTTCAATCGTTTATCATGTTGCAGTTGATCATCCCCATAAATTGTGACTTATCTAAGTAGTAATCAAGGGTGTCTTCAAGATTTTCACGCTCGATGAAGGAGTCCATATATCTCTAAAATACAGCCACTCTAAAGGAAACCCTGCAAAATTGATATAAAGAGCCAGCAGCTTCGAACCCAGTATAAGGTCTGTCAACGTCAGAAATAGGAATTTGGAGATTTGCCAAACGTGAATCATTAGTACTGTAGATCTTTCCTTCGGCAACCTCGTTAATTATATTGTTTCTGTGAGGTAATGGATATGCGTCAAAAGCAGTGTATCTATTTATTGTTGTGAATTGTCAATAACAAGATGTTTTTACGTCTTTGGTCCAACGTGACAAATACTTGAGCGCGCCACGGCGACTCTGACCGTTCTATAATGCCTTCCCGCAACAAACGTTCAATTTCATCTTCAATAAACTTTAGATCATCGAGGCTGTCATTTCTAGACCTGACAGCAATGAGCTTACAGTTATTGTCAATAAATCGAAAAATACGTAAAGGTTCACTTACTTTGGCGCTAGCCAAATTGCAGACCTTTTTACGAACGCACAAGGAGTCTCCGTTGAATTTGAAGACAACTTCTTAATGATTGCTCAGAAAAGCTTAGCCCAGTATGATGTCCGCACACAGATTTTTCACAACACCAAACTTTATTGCACGACAAACTTTCGTTCCAACCTTTAGAGGTGCATCAACGAACCCAATTGTTTGTGCAACTGCTTCGTTCGAAGCAAGTCCAATTACAGTGTTTGAACCATAGAGGATAAGGCCAAGATTTTTAGCCACGGATACCTTCATGCAAATCTGTGAAGCTCCGGAGTCTAGTAGAGCCATCAGAGGATTTTCCGCAATATTAGCTGTAATAGTCGATCGTGATAATGGAATAGAAACAACGTCCATAATTGAAGTAAGGTACACATAATATATAAACTATATTCACTGCAGTATCGTTATTTGTGTTTATAAGAATACCCGAATACGGCGCACAAATCCTAGCATTCCATTTTTTTTTCATTTTTATCGTAATCAAATGCAGACTTGTGAGGCACGTCAATGAATTACAGCCGACATGAAGGGATTTCAATTAGCATCGACTTGATGTGCTTATAACACGTCGAGAATATTTTTGATTGAAAATAATTTTAAAATTATTATCGCAAGATAGTTCGTGCGGCCTCGGCAATAAATCTAAAAGCAAATTGTGTCGTAATTAATTGTTTTCATCCTCAGTTTCGATAATGACCGAACAGGACGGAAATTTCTTCATTTCTTGCAATTTAAAGCGTATAAAGTAGTTCTTAAATAATATTCAGTTTCAATCCCGGATTTTATCGTTATCCCGGATTCGTTGATGACAATATCGTTCAG